AGTATTATGATTTAAATAGAGAGGAAACAAGTTCGGTGTGTGATATTCTTACTTAGCGAGCGCGGAGGTAGTTAGCGAGAATTGAAGAACCCCGCGTTTCGGCCTATGTGCTTGGCGGGAAGTAGTGGTAATCGTTCCAGTGAGCTTCAAGTCTGCTGAATCAGCAGCGGTATTGTAAAACGCGGTGAGTTAGTTATTTTAGAGAGCCTCGTAGTTAGAATCTTGTCTTTACTTTCTTTTCAGGTTATTATTTTTATTTTGACTGCCAAGTTGGCACAGTCTGTGAGCGTCAAGAGCACGCAATTATAATTTTATTACGTTGAATAAAAAGGGACTTAAACCCTTCACAAGGCTCTATCTTTTATACAAGTTTTCACAGTCACCTCTTGGTTGCGTGCAAGTTGGAGGCGCGCAACGTTATATACTTATATTACTTATTTCCTGATAATTTCCATTCCATATCCTCGTGCTAGTCACTTTCCTTAAATAGCGCATGAAGGTTCAATGAATTCAAATAAATTTCGATATCTTTCCACTTTTTAGGTTTTTTTTTTAGTTTTGCTACTTAACGTTTTGAACATGAGTGTAAAACAAGCAATGTTCACTAAATTAAATTAAAACATATATTCATATTTTAAACGCATTTCTAAAACGATAGATTTTTATTGCAGAAGTTTTTTAATTTAACACAAACGATTTTATATATTCGGAGTTCCGGGATTTAAAAAAAAATACTACTTAATGATGATTGTTTTGTTGCTACTGAAATATTGCAAAGTCATCAACTATGGTTTTTATAAATAAAGAATATGAAAAAGAAGCATTCATTTTTATTTCTTTTAATTAAATTAAAATGAAAGTATTGATCAACGTCGATGTGTACTGAGCGATATTGAGAAAGCTACATGAATAAGTATTGAAACACTACTTTAAAAAGTGAATGACATTACTTCTTAATAAATGAGTGACCAATGTTACTTGTATTCTGAAAAAAGAAGGAAAGCATCTTATGATTTCAGTACTTAATGTCTTCTTCTCAGTAAACTTAATATCACTAAGGAAACAAGAAAATCGATAAACCAAGCAATTTTAAGGGATTGCTAGGAAACTATGTGAAGTTTAGTCTCAACATTCGGATAAAATTCTATCAAAGAACTCTTACTAAACTCCATCTAAACACCATACTAATATTATTAGTGCTGTAATGAGATTATCTTATCGATTGCAAACTTCATTTTTTTTTTCTTTTTCATATATATGAGTTCATAATGTAATATCACAGCATTACAGATTTTGCATACATCATCACAGGAGTTTCAAAAGGAAACTCAGCTTCATTTTATTGAGACAGTTATTGCTAACCTAATAGCTAAAATATAATATGGCAGTAAGAAGTGGGCAGCACACCAGAATAAAAATACACGGATAAATTTTGATTTATCTTATCTACACATAAGGCTTGATTACAGTTTAGGCATCTAAGGCGTCGACCTAAGATCTCAGATTTTAGGAAAGTCGAGGATCATCACGTAGTTTAACATTAACCTGTTTTCGCCTAGCAAAACATTAAACATGAACATTAGAGAATTTTGAAAAAAAAAAAAAAAAACTGTGAATAGGGCACTTGGCCGTGTATACAGATTAATCAGAATATCCAAATTTGTTGCTCAGTGCCTGGCTATACACAAAGTCTGTAACATCAGATAATCTAAAACTTATACCTAAGCAAAGGAAAGTCGTAAGAGCTTTTCAATTCGTAATTTTATATAAATTAGTATTAATATTTTTATTCATTCGTAAATAGGACTTCTAGCCTACGTCAGAAATTTTCACTAATATATCATTTATCGTGAAGCCGATAGTTATCTTAATTAGCTTTTGCGCACAATAACATACGGCTTTGCCTGTTAAGGTAAAAACAGTTTATGATTAAAAACGAATATTTAAATGTACCTCCACTGAACAGGGATAATAGTAAATTATTTTAGTATACACGTGTATGTCCAAATACTGATACATAAATTAGATGAGGGTGATAAACAACAAAAATTCATATATAAATAAAAACTATAAAACATTATACAGGTTAGAATAAAAATAAAAAATATTATATATCACATAATAAATCCCCCCGCTAGACATTTATATTGCACTCTACATAAATGATTTTAAGGTGATATTAGAGGAGGCAGTCAAAATTTTATCAAATGAATTAAAATTTTCGTTAATCTTATTCTTATTTAAAACTTGTTAATTTCTAATGCGTTAAATAGTTAAATAAATGGCAAATTATTCAATACAAGAGGACCAGAACGCTGAATATTAATTTTAGCTTTATAATATTTATAAATTTTAGCATTTAATATTAATTTAGACATGAATCTTCTTGTGAGAAGCTATTTTGTTTGCCTTAGAAATCTAATGTCCTTCAGTATTTCTAAATGGCATTAGCGAAATGAGACTGAAATCGTTTTCAAAGCATGTATGTGGATGACGTAATTTAATAATTACTTTAAATGATGTCTTCGTTGAAAGAAAATAGAATGATCAACGACCATTGTATACGAACTATGAAATGGTGGTTTCAGTTTGGCCTAACTACGTAATTTCAACTGCATTCCTAAATCAAGAACTGGAATACAATTTGAATCGAACAGTTTGAACGTTTCATTTGGCAAGAATTCGAAACTTAAATCTCAGTTTATTCAAGTATTACGAAACTTAATGAAATGATTAGTTTGTAGACTTCAAGTCCTTAGAAAATTTAATGCAATGCTTAGATTGCTAAAACGCGAGAGCGACAGAATATTAATTTGACCTCAATACGGAACTTTATATGTATATGCATACGGAAAATGAGTTAAAGATTACAAATTAAAGGGGGATGTAGAGCTTACAAAGAGTTACATTCAAACAGAAATTTATGGTCTTCGAAGTAAAGCTTAGTTAACAGAAGGTTTTAAATGCAAAGGATGGGAAGGAATTACACAGTACTAGTAGCCACATTGTGTGAACATGGATTGAGTTGATTGGGGTGCACTGTAAGCACGAATGGCAAGTCGAAGTAAAGATGATGCAATGCTATAAAATGAAACTATTTACAGACTACATGTTTCTATAGTAAACTGCAACGAACTATGTTTCTTTGCACGCTACTCTAACTTCCACATAATAATTATACTAACTCAGAACTGCAGATTTCTATTCAAATGTTTTTATTATCGGATCCCTCTATACATTCCATAAATTTGTCAACAATTTATAGATTTAAGAACTTCAAGAAATTGAAAACCATAAATTCTGATACTAATTTTCGCATTTGGCAAAATGGCTAGTTATTGTTAAATTATATTATGACCATAAAACGTTTTACTTTCTTTATATAATTTATCTTTCGAAATCCAAATGGAGAAACTAAAAAGCGCAGTGATAATAAATATGATCGTATCAGGAACTTGTATAAAGGCAAAATGTACACTTCTTTCATAAATATCAATACTGATATTTTTCTTCCATTAACGACACTATCTTACGGAAAGTCGGAATGAATATCCTAAAATATTAAAAAATAAACTAGAATTCATTTTCAAAACCTCTTAGAATAATTTGCCATCTTAAAGTTTAGAAAGCTTCAATTAGCAATTTCATTAGTAAACTGTAAGATTAGATATACCCGTTGAAAAGCACACAATAGCTATATTAGCGACCTTGCATTAGAATCCTTTTTAGTTGAAAAACCTTAAGAAATAATGAATGGAATGTCACAGAGTTAATTAGCAATTTCATTAGTAGTCAGTTCCTTACGTTATATGTAGATAAACACTTCCATGAACGCGAGAAAGCGTTGCATTAGTTGACGCTGCATTAGAGTTCTTTTAGTCAAATAAGTCTTGATAAAGTCTGAATGAGCCTTAAAGGTTAATTAGCAACTTCATTAGCAGTCCTTGAGGTTACATGAAGATGTCCGTTGTTGAGAGTAGCTGTATTAACAACGTCAGCTTCCATTTTAGTTGAATGAGTCCTTAAAATGTTAATTAGCAATTTCATTAGTAATCCGTATGTTAAATGTAGATATCCGCTGAAGAGAAGGTAGCTGTATTAGGCGAATCCGCATTAGAGTCCAGTTTAGTCGATAAGTCTTGTAATATAAAAACATCCGACATTTATCCCAAAACTAGAAGCGTAGCCAGATTAGAAGTTTCTCTTGAACACAACCAGATGAGATTCTTAGCGAAAGCTTCTGTGAGAAAAGCATTAGAAAATTAAATATTAGATATCTGCACTGTAGTTTTAATTAATGCAGAGGCATTTAATGATGAAAAATTTAGCTTTAACCAACGAGATTTCATTTTTTACAAGGGAATAGTCACAGTTCATAGAATAATTTTGTTTTCGTTCCCTAGATATGTTAAGGCATTTGATCAGTAAAAAAAAAAAAAAAAAAAAAAAAAAAAAAAAAAAAAAACCGCTTTAGAATTGGCCGAGATTTCTGTAAGATGACATCTTTCATCAAGCAATTCATTAAATTTGCAAAATATCGCAATAATTCGATATCCAGTAGTTTTAGCCCATACTTTGCTGGAAATGATAAAATACAGATAAATTTTACACCATTAAAGCTTGCTCCCATTCCGCACAGTTTCATCAATTTTTCCCGTACTGGTAAATTTGTGCCTATTCCCTTATCTACTATTAATATCTAAAGTAAAATAAGTTTATATATATATATATATATATATATGAGACATCTATGCCTGTTTTAATGATACTCTGTTATGTAACTGGAGAAACAGTGACTATTCCCTATTACGCTGCAACATTGTTAATTATTACCAACTTGGAGTTGTTAGCGCGCCCTTGTATAGTTAGGAAATTATTCACACTGATTAGAACTACTTATAATGAGTTAAAGTTCCCAAAAGAGCTGCCAAAGAGTGAGCTGTATTGCTTAAATTAAGTTATTGTTAGCCAGATGCTAATAAACAGTTGATTTTTCGAACCTTCTTCCCTTGAGGGTTTTTCATCTCCTGCCATCACTGAGAAATGCAAAGAAACAAATACTCAATTAAAAACAATTACTTAACAGTACATGTGACTTTTTGCGCGTTAGAGAAATTTAAAATAAAATAGAATGGTTCTTTTTTCAATTCTATATCGGCACCTGCCATTTACGTATGCATGCACACAAGCATGCATAGACAGCGAGCTAGTTACAGGATCGAGTCACTTTATTATAACCACCAACCAATGCAGATATAAAATATGTGCGGTAAGTCACATAAATGAAGATGTCAAGGACACAATGCCAGGATGTAAAGTTGAATGTTTGATAAGCCATCTACGATATTATAATATATGTATTAACATATATATAACACGATCATCGGGTAACAGATCAAGAGTTTTTGCGTTTCAGAAACAGAGGATTTTGGAAAATGTCACGTATTTCAATTGTGAATATATAGCAGGTCTGGGAAAAGATAATGCTTTTGACAACACATGTTTAAATGTGCACCATCTGCGACTGAAATAAGAGCTGAACTCGGCTGAGATATTTGGTCAGAATGATCGACGAGCTACTAGGGGCCTAAAAGTCTTCCAAATAAATAAAAACAACCAGCCAAATTTTCCAACAAGATTGCAGCAGCAAATCCTATTGTGCATTAGCTGCTTCATGACAGCGTGATAGCAACAACTGTAACCGCTATGCATTGCAAATATACATTGTATATATTAGACGAATGTATCTTTCACCAAGAAAAATAGGACTTCTAGGGTGCACATATGGTCATGTGCACCCTGGTCCTATATGGTCTCAACTGTATATTGCGGTATTTTCCCAACTTGCTGAATCTCTCCTACGACAACAGAATGCGGTTCTTCCGGCTAACATATTCTGGATTACCAGTTAAGTGGATATAATAAAGTGACGTGATAAAGTTATATATTTATATCTATATATGGAGAGAGAGCTACTTTTACAGAGTTCAGTACCTACTGAAATTTGACTAGACTCTTTTAAAGCGAATTTCTAAAAGTATAATTTAACTTTAAACAAAACACACTCCAAATATACTATAAACTATGCGCCTGTGTGAACACATATAGATAAAATGGCGGCAATGAGAACAAAAACTCACTTTCTTCCTAAATATTACAAATAATTTTATACTAAAGTAAATATCTTGATTTTGTTGTAATAATTCGCAACAGAAATATTTAAATCGCGCAAAAAATCACTCAACTATCACATTTCAAATTTCATTTGATAACGTATTAAAATGAATTACATAAAAGCATTTGACAATATAAATATATATTTACAAAATTTAATTTTAATTTTTTTTAATTAGAAATTATTTAAATAAAGAAATTAATCAAACACTTACCTAGCTGCAAGTGACAGAAACATAATATAATCTTGAGCATTTTTCTCGAATATTCGAGAAAAAATTCACTAGAAAAGAATACAGGATTCGAGCATGCAGAGTGGGATTCATATGTTAGAGCAGGTATCAAACACCAACACAGAATGCAATACATATTGTGGATATACATTGTAGTATATTACACGTTTGTTTGGGAAAAGACAGGGAGATGACATTCAGAGCTTGAAAAACAGGAACATAATACAAAAACAAACAAATGTTTAAAAAGCAGAGTTATTCAATTATGTATAAAATATTATTCATTTTGCTACAGATAGTAATAAGCATAAATGTCATATATTACAGCAATAAAATTGTAATTAAAATATTAAATGAGTATTTTATTCAAGTGTTACTCTCTAGTAAGTTAATATAGCTTTAAAACAGTTAGGTAGCTGTCAGCGCTGAATTATTTCATTAATACCGTAAAGCTACGCGTAGATAAGTCAAGTTTAATAGCAGACGCATTAAATAGTTAAGACTTTAAAATTTTTTTACAATCTTCCGAATAAGTTAATTGTTTTATATTAGTGAATTATTTATCAGCCATATTGTAAGATATAGTAAATTTTGTTATAAATTAGCTGCCACAGTTACAGATTGTATGAAAGCTTCAGTAACTTCTGGGAGACCCTCCGCTAGCTCGTTTTGCTGCCTCAGTGTCGTGGATAAATTTCTTAGTAAGATTGTTAACCAGCTGTACCATCGCTGCATCAGTTTCTTAAAGTTAATAAATGGCTTCCAGGTCCAACTGAAAGCTATAGCATTGAAGCCAAACAGTGCACTGCGATGGCAAAAATGTACTTCGACTTTTACTGCTGATATTTTGATCTGTTTCTTATGCAAGTGATTGAGTACTCACCGCGATAATCCAGATTTTATACATGTTGATACACTTCTTGTCAACATGTGTTGAACATTATGGTGTATAGAATATCACTTCTGTAGAATACCAAGAACTACTGCGTCATGGGCAGAGGAATGAAGCACACTGTCTTCAATTTTAACCAAGCGATAATTTTGAAACTTGACAGAAACTTTAAATGGGGTATAAAATGTTGAAAAGCAAAAGGGCATAAAGAATGAATCGTGCGTACCATAAAACTGTCAGTTTGTTTTAAATATATATTTTTAAACAATAAAACATATTTTTTCTCATCTTTTCATAGTGCAATACTTCCTCAATTTTGGTATTACTTCATAACGTACTGAGTAAATTTCATTTACAAATTTCAAGCTTAAAATATCACATATATGGTATATCACACTTCACTTTCATACAATACTGAAAGTTCAGGCAGGCATGTGCAAGGCGTGAGTTCAGCTAAGCTATCCCACTCTGTTTAAGTTCCCAGCGGATGAAATAGCTGTCTTGACAGTGAAATCAATAGGACGCAAAGCGTTTAATCTTTAATCTTACCTATTCAACTGTAATATTAGAAGATTCATGTTTTCTTATAGGTCAATATAAAATTATACACCCACTTGCTTTGCTTTATTCAGTGGTATATTATGATGATCAAAAAGACAATCGATGATGATAATAGCTACTAGTGATAAGACCACAGAAAACTGAAAGCCTCAATGCAACTAACAAATTAACGCATTATTTCATCATAATTCTTACTGTGTCTAGCAGTATCGCAATGAATAACGAATATCATTCTATGCTACAACATTTTAGTAACATACGAGTAGCTCCGGCACATATTACAATTCAACCATGCTAAGGCGAAACATTTAGGGAAAATTATTTATTACGAGTATTACTAGAATTCAAAATAAATATTAAGAAATTTAAGACTGAATTTCTCTACTGCAAGGAAAAATGTTTGTAATAATACGGTGCTCTCTCTTTAAAAGCAAAACATATGAAGAGTGTAAAGTTGCACGTCCCGAAATTTAGGGCCTTTTTTATAAAAAAAATTTAGATTTGCTGTAAATAACGTAGGAATTTCGGTGTGAATTGCTTAAACTTGCGAACGAACGATTTCCAATTATTTAAAAAGTACTTTTACTGGATGCGAAATAAAATGTTTTCATACATTTTAGTAATGCCGAAAATGCGGAAACACGATTTTCTTCGCATGGTTTACTATCAACCAAAAATCTTACATCCATCTGCTGCTGAAACGGATATTTCTATTAAATATGGAAATTTAAAGCCAAAGTAACCGTATACTAAGTTACGTTTCAGTGGTGAATCTTCGAGAATAAAGCACGCACCTAGAACTTGGACAGTTTCAGATTGAGCCATGGGAAGATCTGGTTTTGCAGACTGTGTCGCCTTTCGTTGCACAAGTTTCTCCAATTGAACATCACCCAGTCCAAGATCTGGAGTTACTTGAGATACCTAAATAAAAGACAAATATAAGGATCAACACCTGTAAGCATTTTTTAGGTGTGCTTACTATCAGTTTTAGAATTTTTATCATTACAATATCTTCCATATAGATATAGAAATTCTATCTGAGATACCGATTACGGACAGAATGCGAACTTCGATGCAGCAGTATGATTTAACATTGCTTTTAGATACGGGACCAGCAATGGGCATTCTGGATTTAAAAGAAGTGAAGATAAGAATGAAAGCTTGCGCGTTTTAGTGCATTTACCGACACTACTGCGCTTATTTCGGTTTCAGAAAGGCCTTCGCAAACATCCATTTCTTATTTTTTAGCTATTTCAAGTCTAGAACGTTGACTTTTGATCAACGCCATTTATTTTTATTCTGCATAAAGAGAGAGAGAGAGCTATGTTTCATCATCTTAGTAAAAAGTAATTAGGTATGTTGAAAAAGGTTGCTATTACCTGTACAGATACTTTTTCAACGACCCCGACAGCAGCCGAGTAAGCTGAAGGTTTCTCCTCCGGTTTCATATCACCCAGTGAGCTGTGAGCCAGTGTTTCATATACCTGTGTTGCCACTTCAAAAGGCAGAATGACGTCGACTTTTCTTGCGCCCGGCATGGTATCTGCAGTGAGAGATGCAACAGAGCTATTGCTAAGTATTTCCAGCACTTGCATAGCCAACTCAGACGGTATGCTTGCTTGAGCTGTTGCAGTGCTTGGCTTTTCTTCCGACAGTTCTACCAGTGATCCTGCAATAAACGAGTGGTTTGGGGTTTCTTATTTGATTTCCAAATAATAAGTAATTTCACTAAAATATAATGATCATTGCACTGCAACAAAAATAAAAGAAGTGAGATTGACAATTTTTTTGTACATAATACATGGTGTCAAAATGATGATTATTTACTATAACAACAGTACGACTACTCATAACGATTATTAACTAGATATATTACAAATTATATATTCAAGATATAACAAATACGATGGCTGCGCTAAGAAACGACTGGCGACCTTAAAATTAACTATTCTAAATTTGGTGTTTTCACCCCTTTGTTCTTCCAATTGCGAGATCTTTCCACGTTATATAACAACCTAAAATTAATCAATCACAGCTTAGCTATACTTTATGCACCTACTTAGTATAAATACTGCTCACAAGCAACTACATCCTTCCTTTTCCTAACTTCCGCCATCTCTATGTTGCTTTGCTTAGCTGTCTAAGATGCCTATGTCGTATTTTTAAAACCAGTGTAAATAACAATTATCATATTTAACTATGATTTGATAAATGCCTTGTCTACCAAAAGTGAAGTGATGCGAATTTTATCAGGGAATAAAGTTGAGTTTTTGAAATGGCCGCGCCTGGAAGGTTTTGGTTTATGCATCCATCTACCTAACTACACAGATTTCAAGCTGTAGCGCATCAAAATAGCCACCCTCGGCCATGAAGACTGCAAGTTGTAAAAAGTACCGGTGGTGTCTACGCACTTAAAATGTTACATATATATAGAGATAGGGACAGGACACCAGAGATGAACCCCGCCATGGTACCGAGCCTTCCGAGAATTGCGTCCGTACTTCGGAGACCATCCAAGAGGGCGCGAACCCCACTGCTCCCACTTGGGCTTCCACAAAGAACGCTATTGACGAGTTAAAATACGAAGACTCTTTGCCCCGATCATCACTCCGGGAGCATCGAGAATTCAAAAGGGTGGTCCATATCAGTACAAGTTCCTACGATAAACCAAACCCCCAAAGATAGCCACATATCATACGATGTAACAACCCCACGGCCAAGGGGCAGACACGACAGTACCACTACGGTCCCTGCCAAGCTTGAACCATCTTGAGAACAAACTCGGGTTCTAGTTCTGTGAAGAGTTATTATATAACCCCGTGGTTGAGTTTAAGTAAAGATCCTAGCCAGTACTTCCCAGGAATTCTCCTGAGTCAAACCCCCCCCGAGGGCATATATATATAATACGTTAATCACAAAATTTTAATTTAAACTAGCAAGAGCCCTTAATTCCCCCCTCTCTATTCTAAAAATAAAAGTAACTTTTCCGGACTGCGTCATTTCTAGATCAGCCATTCTCACGAATTCCGTAATGCTGATGATGTAGCTAATTCGTAACCTGAACTCAAAATTTCGAGAACTGAAATAAGCAACCTAAGCCAAAACCTTCTTTTGGTGAGTCTCCATATTGAATAACTGCGCACGTTAGCTTCAGCTTTCCTTGTATCCAAAACGCTGCTTCGTTCGCTGACGTGTCGCTTAACCTCTGTTAGATATTGTCTATGGTTCTAAAAATATAATCTGTATAAAATTGAGGGTTGTATAGCGCACCTATAATGATAATGTGCAACGATAAAGAATATGTGTCCTAAGAATTAGTTATCAAAGAATAAAATTCTGTGTGAAATTTATGGCTACATCTGTCTTCGAGACTTTTCCTTTCTAACCACGCACAACCTTTCCAGATTAAAACGAAAAGAACCATCGCCAATCCGTTGAAGCTTTCTCCAAGGTCATACTATTATATATATATATACATATTATTAAAAAGTGTAAATTATTGAAAAATATGCTTACTGCTTTTAAAATTCTCCGATTGCAAGCAGTACAAACGTAATTTTTTAAAGATAAATTAAAAATCTTAACTAGGGCTATCTGCCTAAGGGGAGGGATGCCTTCGTGGAGGACTTTCTAAGGGAAACTGGCTCGTATACACGTTACACATGGGGAAAACCACGAAAACACCCATGCATCCAGCCCGTTCGCGGGATTCGAACCTCGGACCGAACTACCAGTGTTCAGCGACTTTACCGCTCGGCCGCTGGCGTAGAAAATGGTGTCTTGTATGATGAGTAATCTTAGATCTTATGTAATGGCCATTGACGATGTTTATGGGAATATGGAGAAGAACAGCATTCACCTAGACTTGCTTGAAGACTAAGAAAATTGCCAGAAAATTTTTCTATTCATATACCGATGTTAAGAAATTTGATAAATGTATATTAGAATTTTTTCTATACATTTATATTTTTATAGATATTAAATCTTGATAAATATTCTATTACAAACTATTTGTGTACAATTTCGTGAAAGATTAGATTACCGAGTGTTTGAATAGTACTTGCGAAAAGAACTAAGGGAGAATTTACATAGAGATTCACTGGATTTGTTAAATATGAAATCAGATATAATTTCTACATAAATATTTATTAAAAGACGTCTTTTACCCTGGGTTGTCACTTCTGAGACTTGCATAGCGACGTCGGAAGGCACACTGACTTCTGCTTCTTTGGAACCCGGTATTTCACCCGCCTTCAGTTCCTGGAAAGTGCTGTGAGGTACGACCATGGACACTTCAGCAGCGATATCTGGGGAGAACTCCACGTCAGCTTGCCTAGATCCTGGTCTTTCCAGAACTTTCAGATCTCCCACAGAGCTGCCAGCTAACACTTCCATTACCTAATTAGATGCGCAGTCATTTAAAGAAATATGCAACGTAAGTCTGATCTGATTAATATCTACATATTTTTCTAATTATTGCGATTACTCACAGATTCTTCATTATGAAATACTATGTGAATAATCTCTAAGATTCAACATGCAATACACTTAAATAGAATACTTTTTTATTAGCAGCAAGTTGAGCGAACTGGAGACTCTTACGTAACGTAAATCATGTGCTGTAAATTAAATGCTGAACCTGCGAAATAAGACTCTTTATGCTTTTTAAATATTTCAAAACTTAATTTTTTCAATGAATCTCTTTTTATATAAAGAATTAAAGCGAAATTCTATTTTAAAGTTACGAAAAAACTAATATTGAAAATTTGCAATCTTATCCTCAAAATGTATAACCAAATTGTGGCACTCATGTACACATTACAACTCGACCTCTACATCAGCAATTTCTATTTTCAGTTACTTCCTCTATAATTAATCCTCTCAAAAGATATAAACACTGCACGGTAATTAACAATACTAACAATACAAAATAATACATTTAGCACCTAAACATCTACAGTTTATTGCTTTATATTTCAGTTTTTTTTTTTCACGCGGTTGACGTCAAACTGGAAAATGTCAAAACTGATTTGCCATTGCAATGTAAAACGCCAATCATATTATTCCTTAATTCATGTATTGGGAAGAATTCTTGAGAATCTCCGTTTTGATAGCAGCGGAAATCTAAAGAGTAAAAGAAATCTAAAGAAATCTAAAGAGCGGAAATCTAAAGAGTAAATACCGGATGAAATCAGGTCTAACGATCTGGAATCTATACTTTGAACGCTTGTCAGTTCCCAAAGCATCCTGTAGTGAAACTTGTAATCGAAGAAAGAATATGTTAATAATAGAAAAGTGCAAGATAATGCCTCTTCAAAATCTTTTCCATCAGGAAATTGAGGCACAACATGCTTCTTCAATAAATCCATAGAATTGTTGGTCCATTTAACCATTACCTCCATGAAAAGTATAATGAAATATTATTGTTAGCTTAGTTGCCGAAAATACAGGGAATCAGTACTCAAATATGTAACGTTTGTAGCTCACAGAAATGCTCTTAATATTAGTGCACACCATCAGTCATTAGAATCCGTACTTTTGGATTCAATGAGATTTCGTTTCATTATACGTTACAAAGAAATATTTAATGTAACTTAATAACCGGGCTTCGTGGCGAAAGTTCTTTTAAATTAATTATATATTACAATCGTATCTAGAAATTGCTTTTAGAAAAAAGAAGGCTTTGAATTACCTGAGTTGCGAGTTCAGACGGAATGGAAACATTGGCTTTCTTAGTTCCAGGCATTTCTTGAGGCTTTATATCGCCGACAGAACTATTCTCCAGTACTTGCAGTACCTGCATTGCTAATTCGAATGGGATAGATATTTCTGCTTTCTCAGTTCCTGGAAGTTCACCGTCCTTCAGGTCCTTTGTATGACCTGGAAATGAAAAACATTTATTCAGTATTAAGGCTCAATGAGCTGAATTATTATTTCAAAACCCCCACAATTATTAATTTTAAGCAACGTGGTGCGTTTCAGTTATTTAAGAAGAACAAATTCTCATGTCGACTGAGCGAAAGACTTAATATTATTTTAATTTTAGCTTTTAATTACATTGTGTTTCTATACTTTAAATTTAGAGCATATTTTAACGCCTTTTAAATAAAATTTATATTCGCTTTTCTCTTACTTATTCTAATTCACATATATTTACGTTTTTGTATATTTGCGTATGCATGAACGAAAATAAAAATCAAAGAGTTCTACTGAAGTAAGTTACGTTGAATGTTTTTTGATCGAAAGAAGAATGTTTTAACTTGACGCAAAATTGAAGTGGTTGGGGAGTCTTCTTACCTTGCGTGAGTACTTCGGACACTTCTGTAGCGACTTCCGCTGGCAATAATATATCTACTTTATGGGTTCCAGGAAGCTCATTTGGTTTAAATTCGTTTGCCTTTTCTTGCGTTTGGACCTCTGAAACGCTCAGAGTATGTTGAGATGATACAACCATTTCGACCTGTTAAAATGAAAAACCGAAGAACAAGATTAACAACTTAGTTAAAAAAATAAATAAATAAAAGGACAGATATATGTATTTGACCATTAGAATAACTTTGAGTTATTAACAAACTTTCAACTCTCGAATTTGACAGTTTCCTCTTTCTACTTTCCATTATTCTTTAGTTTTATGTAACCATAGATTCTAATTACCGAAATTGTTTATTGTTTTCTGCCTAATTATTGCAGTATTTAAGTTAAGACGGCATTAAGCGGTGAATGCCTGCTTAGCTAATTTCCTGCCTCTTTATTGTGTTCTTTCGTGGTGTAATTGAAAACACGTCCAGCTAGCAATCAAAAAGACCGGAGTTCCAATCCTGCGAGGGCAAAATTGGTTTCTTCGGCTTCTTAGTTTCAAAATATTCATACGACTGCAAGTGGCATTCGAGCTACAAGGTTCGTCAGCACCGGGATTTGACGCCAGGGTTCCCACCTCTCCAATCGCCCTTTAAGAATGTGAGAATGTAAGGTATTTTCTCCTCCTTAATGTGATTTCGTGGTGTAATTGGAAGCAGGTCGTACTAGCAATCGTCCAAAATTCGTATCGTGGCGAAGGCACAGCACTTTTTCAAATCTTCTGCTTCGAATTAAAATGTCTAATTGTTTCTATAAGTAATTATAATATAAAGGTTATACTTTATGTATTTATTTCTGCGTGCAGTATAAAAATATATATTTTCTTCATGCAAAGTATAATTAAAGATGTTGCACGTATTTTCGCTCTTTACAAAAAGGAGTAGAAAAGTTACTTGCATTATAAACTGATGCGCTGAGAAAAACCAATAAATCTCTTTACTCGTTCAATGAATTAAGCATTAATTTTACATTGATGATGATGATGCAGTAATACTATTATTAAGAGGAACAATATTTAGAAGAAAATTTTGAACGAATTAGTCTTATATTATATTTTTATCGTTTCATTTTATTATAAAAGCTTCCTCAAAAACTGTTTGGAAAAAAATTAATTTTATAATTAATTATTAATACACCATATTAATAATATTATTATTATACAAAAATATACTGAGTTTGTGACTGTCAATTATAAAGTAAATAATAAACTTTCCCATATTTGTATTACTTTTTGTATTATGTTTTACATAAATATTATTAAATAAAAAATAAGCGAAATTGCTGAACATTAGTAGTTCCGACTTGGGTTTGATTCCAAGCAAAAGGCTTGACTGCATGGACGTTTTCGTGTTTTTCCACGTGTAACATGTATACAAGTTAGTTTCTCTTAAAGTCTTCCACGAGTCCTTAGGCAGATAGCCCTAGCATATTTTGCAATAATCAACTAAACCATATCTAAAATGAGGCAATATTTTCCACCTAAAATGCATTTCTGAAGGTCATATCATCTTATACTATGTGCGGATAAATACTGAAATAATAATTTATGAGTTACCTCTTAATTTGCAAATTAGAAGAAAACATAGTCATTGAGTTTTATTTCCAGACATTGTAACTGAAATCATTTAATCATATATATGACTTTATTTATAGGATATAGACTATAAGCTATTTTCCCCCCTTTGGAAACAACTAAAAAATTTAAAGATTGTTTTTATTTGTGCAGCTATCTTAATTAAAGGGGCTAATTAATCAAACCGTCGCAAAAATTTTATTAACACTCCAATACTGAACAATAGAAATACTACGTTTTAAGATGGCACATTCCAAGTCGTTGTACATTATAAAAGTTCATTGTTAAATTTATACTATCAACTAGTTGAAACAACTGTCTTTAATAAAATTTCCTAGTTGGAAAACTAAAAGACAGAAAAATAACTGTACTGTTTTACTAGCAACCTATTAACATGCTTTCACTACAAGCTAAATTTGATCTATAACAAATAGCATTTAAGTTGCTTTTACAAAAGAATATCATAAGAAATAGCACAGATAAATTTACAGTCATAAAAATGAAATAATTTAAGAAATAAATGTACATAATACAGAGAACAGATTATTATAAAGTTAAAAATTAGTAATGAGATAAAATAATAAAGCTGTAAATTGGTATGAGAGAAAGCAAATATTATGAAAGCAAAAGCAAATGTTAACAACTTCTTTCAAACACGTTGAATTTGCTATTAATGGATTAATCAAACAAAATATGAAGAGATAAAATACAATGTGTTATTATCTAGCTCGAGATGCAATAGAACAATGAGGAATGCGTTGATGCTTAGTGCTTAAAACAAAGTTTTAAAGCAGACTTAAAAATTGTTAAGTATTTTACTTCATGAAATCTAGAACATATTAAATGCATTTGATCATTTGCGGTAATGAGAAGAAAACTATTGTTTCTCGAGGTAGAAAATGTTTATTAAAACTTTCAGTGAGTTGCAAATTAATTATTTAAGCAAAATAAAAAAATAAATGCTAGTCAGAGGTAATGCGTTAGAGTTCAAATGGTTATTAAAGCTCAATAAAATAGAATTGTAAGTATCTTCCACACATATACAAATTAATCAATTAATGAATTAAAAAGCTAAATTCGGATATTAAAAGCAGTGGTAGTACTTTCTTCGTCCAATCTTGCAGGTTAGCTTTGCATTAATTTAAACTTGCTGCTTCTATCCAGTGCAACAGCGGCCGTTTCTGGCTCTTCTTACCTGTTTGGTATCTGGCTTTTTCTCTTCCACGAGCTCACCGGTCACAGCTTGAGTTTCAACATCTGACACTGCCACATGTTGCTCTGGGATGAACTTAACTCGAGCGCTGGCCTCAGCTGGTGCCTTCTCTCTTTCTAGCGAAGCAGCCCTTGTTTCCTCTATGACTTCTGATACTATAAAAGATTCATGAGGTGAAAGGGCTACTTTTGCAACACTTGGAAGGATTTTTTCAGAAACATCTAAATTCTCTGCTTTAGTCTCCGAAGTGACTTCCGAGATCGATACATGTTCAGTAGATGTTAGTGAGAAAACAGCCGTTGAGCCAACAGGAGCTTTATCAACCAACAATTCACTGGCCTGAGTCTCTGTGATTATTTCAGACACACTGATATGATCATTTTTAGTTAAAGCATAGCCTGCTTTCTTCTCCTTTGGTTTCTTCTGCTCTGGAAAATCTTCAAAGTTTTCTTCTGTTTTCGTTTCTTGTACAGCGAAAGATTGTTGATGTGTGTAAGATATTAAAGCCGATGCCTGTTCAGGGGCTTTCTCAGGAACAAGCTCTTTTGTGCTGGTTGCAGTTGTTACTTCGGAAACATCCAAAGAATCTTTTGGTAAAAATTTTGTACGGGCTGTTACTTCTGCAGGTTTTTTCTCAAGAGTTAACTCCGATGGGAAATCTGCCGAAGTAATTTCTGAAACAGCCACTGATTCTTGATGAGGTACAGTGACTTTAGCAATCTCTCCAGAAGGAGTTTCTTTTCTTACAAGATCTTTTGGAATATCACCAGTGACAGTTTCAGATACACATAAAGAATCGGTACTGATAACCTCAAAATCTAATTTTTTACTAGTTGGTTTTTTTGCAAGTTTCAGATCGCTGGTACTGAGTTCTGTAACAACTTCTTCAACTGAAACTGTTTGTTTAGACACAAATTTACTTTCTGCGCTAAAACCGGCAGGAATCTCTTGGGTTTCAAAGTCGCTAGGTTTCATTTCTGGCATAACTTCTGAAACTGCTACTGTCTCCTTAGTAATTAATTCAACACCTGCTGTGATTTCTTGTGGTTTTTCTGCTTTAATTATATCTTCTGATGTTTGTTCCGTAGAAACTTCTGAAACGTTTATTGATTCTTTCGTTGTAAACTTAACCCCAGCCTGTACTTCTCCAGGAAGTTTTCCAGGAGCAAAATGCCCAGGCCTTTCTTCTGGAAGAGTATGAGAAACTTCTATGCCTTCTAATTGTGGTAAACCAACTGACGCCTGAGCTTCAACTGGTTTAGATGCTTCTGGTAAGTGTTCGGATTTCTGTTCCGTTGTTACTTCAGAAACTGATATCGGTTGTTCAGTAGTAAATTTGACACCTGCCTGAACTTCACCTGGAAGTTTACCGGCAGCAAATTGTCCAGGTCTCTCTTCAACTAAAGTCTGAGATATCTCAAAACCTTCCTGTGCGGAAAGTGTGATTGCAGCTTTAACACCTGGATGCTTTTTCTGAGGTTCCAATTTTTCAGGTACTTGCTCTGTAGATGTCTCTAGAACAGTCAAAGGTTTCTTTGTTGTCCATTTAATACCCAACTGGACTTCTCCTGGAAGCTTACCAGCAGCAAATTTTTCTGGAACTTCTTCAGCTGTAGTCTGTTGTATCTCTATTCCTTCTTGCTGTGATAAACCAATCAATGCTTGTACGGTTGTTGGTTTTTTCTTAACTTCAAGGTTTTCAGATATTTGCTCTGTACATACTTCTGAAACTGATAGAGAAGTTTTTGTAGTTAATTTAACGCCTGCTTGAACCTCACCAGGCAGTTTTCCTGCTTCAAACTGTCCTGGCTTTTCTTCAGGGAGTGTTTCGGAAACCTGAACAGATTCTTGATGTGAAACACCTAAAGCTGCTGATTCCGCAACTGGTTTTTTCATTTCAGTTAAATCTTCGGATTGCTGTTGAGTAGAAACTTCAGAAACTGCTAATGATTCACTTGCCTTAAATTTGATTCCAGCTTTCACTTCACCTGGTAACCTACCTGCAGCAAAATGGCCTGGTTTTTCCTCAGGTAAAGTTTCAGATACTTCTATGCATTCTTGGTGAGAAAGACCATAAGAAGCTTGTACTGTTGCAGGTTTCTTTTTATCTAGTAAGACTTCAGATTCTTGTTGAGTAGAAACTTCCGATACTGATAATGACTCCTTATGAGTGAATTTAATTCCAGCCTGGACTTCACCTGGAAGTCTACCTGCACTAAATTGTCCTGGCATCTCTTCTAACACGGCAGCAGAGACTTCCAAATGTTCTTGTTGAGAAATACCTAATGATGCTACAACTTCGGCTGGTTTCTTCCCCTTTTCAAGCTCTTCAGATTCTTGCTGCGTAGCTACTTCTGAGACAGTTAAAGGCTTTTTTGAAATAAACTTAACACCCGCTTGAACTTCACCTGGTAATCTTCCTGCAGCAAATTGCCCTGGTTTTTCTTCAGATAGCATTTCAGAAACTTCTAATGACTCAAACTGAGAAAGACCTAAGTTTGCTTGAACTGCAGCTGGTTTCTTTTCTGATGGTAGAGATTCTGACATCTGTTCTGTAGAAACTTCAGATACAGATAACGATTCTTTAGTCGTTACTTTTATTCCTGCATGCACTTCACCAGGTAATTTACCAGCTGCAAAATGTTCAGGCTTTTCATCTGGCAATGTCTCTCTAATTTCAATAGGCTCTTGGTGTGTTAGTCCTACAAATGCTTGGGCTTGGATAGGCATTTTCTTCTCTTCTAAGTTTTCTGACTGTTGCTCAGCAGACACTTCCGTAACAGATAATGGTTTTTTGGTCGTAAATTTAAGATCTGCTTGCGTTTCACCAGGTAATTTGCCAGCAGCAAATTGACCGGGTCGTTCTTCAGGTAATGGTTGAGATATCATGACTGATTCTTGCTGAGATACTCCAACTGCTGCACGAACTTGAGACGGCATTTTCTGCTCATCAAGCTGTTCTGATTCTTGTTGCGTAGAAACTTCAGAGACAGATAACGATTCTCTTGTAGTTAATTTCACCCCAGCTTGCACTTCACCAGGTAATCTTCCAGCAGCAAACTGGCCTGGTGTTTCATCCAGATGAGTCTGTGAAACTTCAAGAGACTCTGACTGTAGAATGCCTAAAGTAGCTTGAGCTTTGATGGGTTTTTCATGAATTTCAAGCTGTTCCGATTCTTGTTGAGTTGAAACTTCTGATACTGATAATGGTTTATTTGTTGTCCATTTTATTCCAGCTTGCACTTCTCCTGGTAATGTGCCTGCAGCGAATTTGCCAGGAACTTCTTCTGGTTGTGCTTGAGATACTGTGACAGGCTCTTGTTGAGAAAGTCCAACAGCTGCTTTAGCAGTAGGTGCTCGTTTTTGAATAACTAGATCTTCAGGCTTTTGTTCAGTTGAGACTTCCGAAACAGAAATAGTCTCTGTAGTCGTTAGTTTCACACCAGCCTGAACCTCTCCAGGTAATCTGCCGGCAGCAAACTGGCCAGGCTTTTCTTCAGCGGTTGTTTGGCATACTTCAACGGATTCTTGCTGTGAAAGACCTACTAGAGCCATTGCTGAAGATGGTCTTATAGGCTCATCCATTATACCAGTTTCTTGTTGTGTGGACGTCTCTGACACAGTAACTGATTTTTTGGTTGTCCATTTAATACCAGCATGGACTTCACCAGGGAGTTTGCCGGCAGCAAATTGACCAGGAAGTTCATCTGCCAAAGTTTGAGATATTAAGAATGTCTCTCTCTGCGTCATATCCAAAATAGCTTGTTTTGCTGTTGGTTTCTCTTGTACATGTAGCTCTTCGGGTATGGCTTCAGTCTGTACTTCAGATACTGAAAGCGATTCTTTTGTTTTTATTGTAGTCCTAGCTTTAACTTGCCCTGGTATAGTACCTGGAGCAAATTCCTTAGGTTTCTCCTCCGATTCAACAGCTCCTACTGAAAGTGGTTCTTGAACAGTATATTTAACGGATGCGTGAGCATCTTTGGCAACAGACGGTGTTATTTCTTCCGGAGTCTGTTGGTCTGTAACTTCTGATACAATTAACGATTGGCGTGGAGACATCTTGTAAATGGGTGCCATTTCTTTCTTTTCAAGCGACTTAACATGACCAGTAACTTCATCTACTGTTTTAATCTCTTCCATTTGAATCTTTTCCGGAAAAATCATTTTTAAACGAGACAATTCGGTTTTTTCCGCTTCTGTAATTTGTTCTATTTCCATTACAGCCTGACCCTTTTTCCGTGATGTTATTTCGACCTTCTGATCTTCATCTTTTATAATTTTAGATACCTTTTCGACGGATTTGACACCTTTTGTGACTGTTTTACCCATAGTAGTAGTCGTTAGAGATTTATGTGTAGTCGAAATATCGAATTCTTTCTCAACATGTTGCAAAGGCTTCTCTTTACTTTCTAACGTAATATCTTGCTTTTTAATTTGTGTAACATCGACTCCAACTTCAGTGGAAGATAAATGAATCTCTCTTTCATATAGTTCAGGTTTTAATTCTGTAAATTCTATTTTTATTGGCTTTGGCAGAGTTGAAATTTCTTGAACAATTCTTTGTTTCGATGACACTGCAAAATCAGTTTCTATTTCTTGAATGAATTTGGTTTCGGGTTTTCGTTTTGCTTCACTTTTCAAAGTAATTTCTGGCTTGAAGATAGGTTTTTCTTCAGTTTCTACTTTCTCGGATACTTTCTCAACAATTTCGATCTTTTTAGGCTTGTATTCTAATTTAGTAATTGTGGTCATTGTCGTTTCAGTTATTTCCGTAGTATCATCTTTGACCCGTTGAGGTTTAGGACGCTTATCGCTTACATCTAAAATTTTTATTGCCTCTTCTTTTGGTTTGCCGATACTTTCGATCGTTAATTCTTGCTTGGGTTTGTACGATGAGACCTCAATATCGACTGTTTCATCTTTCCTTTCAGTCACTTTTTCTTTGACAACTTTTTCAGTTTCATCAACTTGTTTTTCTCTTTTAGTTAATGTAATCGAAATATCTTGTAGTTTTCTTTCTGAAACTTTCGTTTCTTCTGGCTTCTTCGGTGTAATAAATGGCTTCTCAACCTTTTTTAATCCAAATTTTGTAGTAGTGATTTGCGTTTTTTCTTCTTTTTCGTCCACAGTAGTTACTTTCTTCGGTTTTAGTTTAAATGGTTCGGATATTTCAGCCCTTAGGGGTTTTGGTGCCTCCTCAAGGGTAAAAGATTTTAAACTGTAATCAACAAATTCCGGTTTAATTTCTTCAGGTTTCCATCGTTCAATTTTAGCAGGTTGCAGCTTAACTTGAGCAAATGGCTCAGATATTTCAGCCTTTAGAGGTTTTGGTGCCTCTTCAAGCGTAAACGATTTTAAATTGTAATCAACAAATTCAGGTTTAATTTCTTCAGGTTTCCATCTTTCGATTTTAGCTGGTTGTAGCTTAACCTGAGCGAAAAGCGGTATTTCAGGTTTAATTTCTTTTCTTTCAAATCGAATTGGTTGCAGTTTGACTACTTCAAAAGTTTGAGCAGGGTGAGAAATCTCTTCATATATTATTTCTTTCTCTACATCGGATTTTTTTGTAACTTTACGAGTTTCAATAGCCTCCGTTACAATTTCCTGCCGTGACTTGAACTCAATATCAATTTTTTCTCTTTCTTTCGTTACAGGTTTCCTCTCCTTATCTTTCAACTGTACTTCCTCAATTTTCTCAGTTTGAGGGAATGGCTTCTCTTTCGTTTCCATGGTTACTGTAAGATCTTCTGGTTTCTTCAAGGGCTGCTTTTCTTCTACTTTTGGCTTAGTAAAAGTCTTTTCGGTCTTTCGCAACCCAAATTTTGTGGTCGCTTGATGCGTTATTTCTGTCTTTTCAGTGGTTACAGATTTTAGAGCTTTCGAAATTTCTGCTGTTTGAGGTTTAGGTTCTTCGCCAATCGTAAATGATTTTAAATGGTAATCGACAAATTCTGGCTTCATTTCTTCAGGTTTTTGCCTTTTTATTTTTGTTTTTTGAAGGATTACTTGAGCAAAATGAGGTACTTCGGGTTTTATTTCAGTTTTCTGAAACTTAAGCGGTTGCAATTTTATCGTTTCAAGTTTTTCAGGCTTATGTGATATGTCTTCAATCGTTATTTTTCTTTCAGTGCCAGGTTTCTCTGAAATCAGTTCTTGTTTTATAATCGTCGTTTCTTGGGTAGTGATTGTACTCCTCTGCGCATCTGGAATCTGACTGATGCTTTCCGTTGTTTTAAACACTTCCTGAGTAAACTTTTGAGATGTGACATCTAATGGACGACACACAATATGCGACTCTTCTATTTTACTCTCACGTGTTGTCACTTGAGTAGGAACTTTCGGCTTTAGTATATCTTTTGGTTTTTGCTGAACAAATGTAGTTGTAGTTAAGTCTGTTACTTGCGGTTTTTCCTCTTCTAATTCAGTTATCGTTATTTTTTCTGGTTCATGCATAGTCTTGTGAACAATAATTTGTTCCCGATGTTTCTCTGGCCGTTTAGTTTCTATACTTTCAAAAGAAATTTCTTGTTTTGGCTTATATTCTAACGCTGTTATTTCAACTACATCTTTCTTAGCTTCTTGAACAGCCTGCATAAGTTTTGTACTGATAACTTCTTTTGTAAATTCTTTCTTTTTGCTCGAGATATCATATGTAATTCCAGACTCCGGTTTAACTGGTGCTATTTCTTCAGGTTTTTGACGTTCAGGTTTCATGACTTTCGGAGAAGGCTTTTCTTTTGGTTTTCGCTGCTGGAAAGTAGTTGTTGAAATTTCTGTAACTTGAGGCTTTTCTTCCTCTAATTGCGTCACTGTTACTTTTTGAGGTTCAGGCATAGTTTTGTGAACTATTATTTGTTCCCGATGTTTCTCCGGCTGTTTGGTTTCTATGCTTTCGAAAGAAATTTCTTGTTTTGGCTTATATTCTAATGCTGTTATTTCAACTACATCTTTTTTGGGTTCTTGAATAGCTTCTGTAAGTTTGGTACTGACAACTTCTTTTGCAAAATCCTTCCTTTTGCTCGAAATATCATACGCAATTCCATATTCCGGTTTAATGGGTGCTATCTCTACCATTTCAGGTTTCTGAAGTTCAGGTTTCGTAACCTTCGGAGAAGGTTTTTCTTTTGGTTTTCGCTGCAGGAATGTAGTCGTGGAGATTTCTGTAACTTGTGGTTTCTCTTCGTCTAATTGTGTCACTGTTACTTTCTGTGGTTCAGGCGCAGTTTTATGAACAATAATTTGTTCGCGATGCTTCTCTGCTTCTTTCGTTTCTATACTCTCATAGACAATTTCTTGTTTCGGTTTGTATTCTAATGCTGTAATTTCAATTACATCTTTCTTATTTTCTTGAACAGCCTGTGTGAGTTTTGTACTTATAACTTCTTTTGCAAACTCCTTTTTTCTGCTCGAAATATCATACGGAATTCCATATTCCGGTTTAACCGGTGCTATCACTGTCTCTTCAGGTTTCTGAGGTTCAGGTTTAGTGACTTTTTTCGGAGACGGCTTTTCTTTTCGCGTTTTCTGCAAGAACGTAGTAGTAGAGATTTCTGTAACTTGCGGTTTCTCTTCTCCTAACTGTGTCACTGTTACTTTCTGTGGTTCAGGCGCAGTTTTATGAACAACAATTTGTTCGCGGTGTTTTTCGGCTTCTTTCGTTTCTATGCTTTCGTAGAAGATTTCTTGTTTCGGTTTGTATTCTAATGCCGTAATTTCAACTACATCTTCTTGAACGGCTTTTGTTAATTTTGTGCTGATAACTTCTTTTGCAAATTCCTTCTTTTTGCTTGAAATATCATACACAACTCCATATTCTGGTTTAACCGGTGCTATCTCTTCAGGTTTCTGAGGTTCAGGCTTGGTGATTTTTTTCGGAGACGGCTTTTCTTTTGGCTTTTTCTGCAAGAAAGTGGTAGTAGAGATTTCTGTAACTTGCGGTTTCTCTTCTTCTAACTGTGTCACTGTTACTTTCTGCGGTTCAGGCGCAGTTTTATGAACAACAATTTGTTCGCGATGCTTTTCGGCTTCTTTTGTTTCTATGCTTTCGTAGACAATTTCTTGTTTCGGTTTATATTCCAATGCCGTAATTTCAACAATATCTTCTTGAACGGCTTTTGCTAATTTTGTGCTGATAACCTCTTTTGCAAACTCCTTCTTTTTGCTTGAAACGTCATACACAAGTCCATATTCCGGCCTAACAGGGGCTATCTCCGTCTCTTCAGGTTTCTGAGGTTCAGGTTTTGCGACTTTTTTCGGAGATGGCTTTTCTTTAGTCTTTTTCTGCAAGAAAGTAGTAGTAGAGATTTCTGTAACTTGCGGTTTCTGTTCTTCTAACTGTGTCACTGTTAGTTTCTGTGGTTCTGGAGCAGTTTTATGAACAACAATTTGTTCGCGATGCTTCTCGGCTTCTTTCGTTTCTATGCTCTCGTAGAAAATTTCTTGTTTCGGTTTATATTCTAATGTCGTAATTTCAACTACGTCTTCTTGAACTGCTTTTGTTAATTTCGTACTGATAACTTCTTTTGCAAACTCCTTCTTTTTACTCGAAATATCATATACAGTTCCATATTCGGGTTTAACTGGTGCTATGTCTGTTTGCTTCGGTTTTTGGGGTTCACGTTTTGTGATCTTTGGTGAAGGTTTTTCTTTTGGCTTTTGCTGCAGGAAGGTAGTTGTAGAGACTTGTATAACCTGGGGTTTATCCTGCTCTAATTGGGTAACTGTTACTTTCTGAGATTCAAGCGGAGTTTTGTGAATGGTGATTTGTTCACGATGTCTCTCCGGCTCTTTGCTTTCTATGCTCTCAAAAGTAATGTCTTGTTTCGGTTTTTCTTCTAATGCTTTTATTTCAACCACGTCTTTTTCTGTCTCTAGGATAGCTTTTGATAATTTTGTACCAATAATCTGTTTTGCATATTCTTTCTCTTTGCTTAAAACATCATACTGAATTCCATAGTCCGCTTGAACTGGTGCTATTTGTGTGTCCTCTGGTTTTGTAACCTTCTTTGGGGAAGGCTTCTCTTTCGGTTTTCTTTGAAGAAATGTGGTTTTAGAAATTTCTATAACGTGTGGTATTTGATCTTCTAACTGGGTTGCTATTAGCTTTTGAGGTTCTAGTGGAGTTTTATGAAAGATAATTTGTTCACGATATTTCTCTGGTTGTTTTGTTTCTATGCTCTCGAAAGAAATTTTTTGTTTCGGTTTATATTCTAATGCCGTTATTTCAACTATGTCTTTCGGGGTTTCTTGAACAGTCCTTGATAGTTTCGTACTTATGGTCTCTTTTGCATATTCCTTCTCTTTGCTTAACACATCGTACTCAATTCCATAGTCTGGTCTGACTGGTGTTGTTCGTGTCTCCTCAGGTTTTGTAATCTTCTTTGGGAAGGGTTTGTCTTTCGGCTTTCGTTGCAAGAAGGTTGTTCTAGAAATTTCTGTAGCTTGTGGTTTCTCTGGTTCTGCTTGTGTCATTGTTACTTTTTGAGGTTCAGATGTCGTTTTATGAACAATAATTTGTTCACGATGCTTATCTGGCTTTTTAGTTTCTATACTTTCAAAAGAAATTTCTTGCTTGGGTATATATTCTAATGCTGTAATTTCAACAACAGGTTCTTTTTGCATAACTTCTTCTAATTTCTTTTCGACAGTTTGTTTTGCTATCTCCTTTTTCAAACTTTGAATATCAGTGGGAATTTCTGGCATAGGCTTTTGATATACAGGCTGGGGTTTCGGATATTCTTTGCTGTCAAAAGTAATTTCTGGCCTTTTGTATGCAGGCAATAAAGTAACGTCAATGCCTTTTACTTCATCTGGTTTCTGCATTTCTGTCGTTATTCTTTGCTCAGTTTGTGAAACTTGCATTGTTTGCGTTTGCGTGATACTCTGAAAAGAAACATCCTGCTGTGTAAATCGTGTTAACGGTCTAGTTTGTTGAAAAGCGACGGTCTGGGTTCGCAGTTGGCCCATTTTTGTCGTGACTGTTTGGAAAGGCTTAGTATCCTGAGATAAAATCACCTGTTCTGGTACGCCAGTTGGAATTTGTTTTATATCTACGGAATCAACACACACATCTATATCTTTTATTACCTCTGCTTTTTCCACTTCCGGAAACGCTGATGGAGCTACTTCTGTTGGCTTCTCATGGGCAGTTATTTGTTCTACTTGGACATGTTTCTGGGTTCTCAAAGTTGGTTCAGCCCGTTCTGGCACAGCTTTATCTTCTTTCAGCATCCTAGTACGCTGCAGAAAGGTTGTCTCTTCCGTTGCCTTCTTCAGAACAGGTTTCTTGGGTTTCTTCTCAACCTCTTTCGGTTTTTCCTTAGTCGGTTCTTCAGGTTTTTCTAGAAGTATATATTTGTTATTTTAAAATAATAAGAAATGCATTAAATTGAAAAATTTAATATGGTACTAAGCTTGCATATGTTTGAATTTATCAATCAGTTAACAATGAATGTATATGAACACCTTCTTCATAAATGAAAAACAAATCATCTCCTCCCAAGAAGAAGCAACTCTGGATACTTTGTTGAAAAATATACTTCAAAACTAAAAGACTGATGATAGTTAACAGGCTACTAGATGAATTCTTTTTTTCAGTCAGACGGGGTTCTGTAAGCACCGATAAGAAAAGAAAACAGATTTTAAAATTTCACGGATTTTACTATTTTATTATTTTATTTAATAAGATTAAGTATGCAAATTTAATTCACTTTCGAATACTACGAACTGGAAATTTATAAACTCCTGTTTTTAAAAGTTACTAGAAATATTTAGTTTATAATTTAAGAAAAGATGTATGTTACGAATTAGTGCACTGGTAGTTATTTTAAAGCGAACTTACATTTTTAAATTTGCAAATTTTTTTTTTTAGTTTAAGATTTTGCGTCTTCTCACTAATTTCATAATTAGTTTTCTTGCATGAAATTCTTCCATATAAAACTCTATTAATTGCTTCATTTATAAAAATGCGTTAATTTGTTAGCATATTAAACTGAAATAAACAACATAAGTTATAATCAAGGAAACTAGATGCTTTTATATGCTTAGATTCTGTCTTAAAAAGTACAAAAAGTTTGAGTGTACTGTTTAGAATATTTACAATATTATTTTTAACGTCAAAGGCAGTACAGTTTTCAGCATTTTAGATAATTTCTCAAGTACGAATAATATATATCTGATGTTAACAAGCATTTAATTTCTAAAAATAACATATTTTTAAATCGTGATGTGTACTTATTTCTGTTTCATCATTAACCTTAATTAAAAGTTATGTTATTCATGAAAACATTCACGAAGAAAACACAAGATATCAAACAGTAGGTCTCGTATCCAGAGACTATATGACCTAAGAGCTGAAACCATGCTTTATCAAGCAGTTAAATATGTATGGATCAAAGATTGAATTAGTAAATTAAATACGTTATTAAATCGAAATAGATTTCCTTACACTCGTGCAATAGCTGCAAAGTAACAAAATAATCATTTATTTACTAATGGATTATTAAGTATATTATCTTCTGAAATAAGGTTACTAGAATTGTAGTAGAATGAAGTAACTTGAAACATTGAAAATTGAATTTAGAAAAAAAATTAAAGGAACTTCAATGTGCATCACGAAAAAATTGAATCGAAACTACTGAAAATGAAAAGATTGAAATAGAAACTCTTGATAGTGAAAAATTAATCAATAAATCAAGTAATTACTGTCATTGATCAGAAATTCGTTGATTTTTCAAGGGGTACAAACCAACTCCCCATCAATCAACAATAATTAATACATACAAAGGCATTCTGTCTTTTACTCAAGTAAGAATTATAATACCAAATTGGTAATTATTGTTGATTGATTGGGAGTTGGTTTGTTCTCCTTGAAAAGACAATCAATTTCCAATCAATGACAATAATTGCTTGATTTATTGATTAATTTTTCATTATCATGAGTTTCTATTTCAAGGTTTTCATTTTAAATAGTTTCCATTCAATTTTTTCATGATGCACATTGAAGTTCCTTTACAAAAATATTTTTTCTAAATTCAATTTTTCAATGCTTCAAGTTACTTCATTCTACTACAATTCTACTAATCTTATCTCAGGAGATAATATACTCAATAATCCATTAGCAAATATATATATATGTATATAACACGATAATAATGTAAGATACATAAATACCGTAACGTTCAGTTGATAAATTATGCGTAACTAGACATCAAAATTAAATTACCATGTCTATTATATAGTGCATTGTACATTTACTTTGCGCTTTTCCTCTCGTACGTTACGTTCACACTTAATTCTTAAATGAAAATAATACAATGAAAATATACTATGCTTATATGTAATATAGTATTCTGAGAAATTTCAAAAAGAACCAACAAATTTAATGCCTTTTGTACTGTTGCATTGCACCAAGATACAGCTCATTTTATGCCATGATATTGCCGTATTTCATTAACTTTCACAATTCCTTTTAAGCTGTGGTAATGAAATTTCATTTACGCGAACATGACTGTATTTTCAAATTTTTTAATTATAATCATGAAATACTTTTCCATTTTTCGGGGGCGGGAGCATTTGCTTTGTGTTTCCAATCCTTCTGAATACTATTATTAGTCCAAAAGGGCTTTGTCCCTGAAGGACTATTGTTTTCGTTTTGCGATTTTGCGTTGGTTCACTATAAATGTCCGTTTCACTTTTCAAACTGTTGCCACCAAATGTTAGAGTCCAGCATTATATTTGAAGAAATTAAATAATGAAAAATCTGCATAAATGTACGCATATTTCTCGCACTGTGATAAAACAACGGTGCATAGAGCGATCGAATTTTGAATGACGTAATCCTACTGCGAATATAAGCATATGTGGAAGCCTAAATTTGAAATTTGGATTTTTTTATTACCGATTTCATATTTTGTAAAACTTTAACGAAATTTAATTAAAGAACTCAAGGATTTCAAAGCGAGCAATGGCAACGTTGTACAGAAAACACATTTTTATCTCCAGCGAGTGAGACTGCGTATTGGAAATTCTAAAGATATGCTTAATTTAAAACTAATTTGCGATATTGCTCTTGAACTGAATCTTATGGTTTAAGTGCGAAGAACGTGATATTTAATAAATAAAGGTAACAGACAAAAATGTTAAAAAAACGCCCCTTTGAACGTAATTTAAAATATGAAACCTTTCAGATTTTTAAACATTTTTTTATTAATATTACCTCCAATGTAAAGATAGGCTGAAGAAATTTCTTCTCCAAATTCGTTGACAGCCTTGCATGTGTATTTGCCCTCTACTTCCTTTATGACCTTCAGAATGATTAAGATTGACCGATCTTCTAGCTCGGAAATCAAGTAGTATCCAGTCGTTACATCGATAGCTTTTTCGTTATGGTACCAAGTTACCTGAGGACGAGGAATTCCTCTGATGACACATTCTAAAGTCACCTTCTTGCCTGGTGTTTTTACGTACACATCTTGCAAAGGGGTTTCTATGCGAGGCCGCTTTTCTTCTGAAAAGATCAGACAGTCATTTAAATATTTTCATAAATTGCGAAGGTATTAATTTTATATCCTATAAACCTTCATTACTCGATATAAATACGTTCCTAAAGCACCTCGTACGTAATCGTAAGCACTTGAAATCCACTAAAACCTGAACTTTCTGGTAAATATGAGATTTTATTTATTATTTCAAATTTGGGTTCTTAGCAGTAACATTTGGACTTTACCTAATGTCGTTAGAAAGCTGTAAATAAAGCATTTCAATAAAATATCGGTTTTATTTTGATAATATAAGATATATATTTTGTTGAAATCTTTCCTTCAAAACTTTTTTGAGTCCAAGGATTTCTGAATCGAATAGAATGTTATACTGCAAATTAAATACCACTTTTCCAAATAAGAGAATTAGTTGGCATGAAAGTTAAAAAAAAAAATGGTAAAATTTGCCAATAATTACGTTTTGAGATACGCAAAACTGTATTTTTTATTTTTACATAATTAAGTTAAGACGCATTTTAAATATTTGCATACTGAAAAGCAACTGATATTTGCACAAAGAAGTTCAGCAAATATCGGTAACGTTTGGATGTTATAAGTAAAAACTGGAAGTTTGAATGGTATAAGTAAAACCTGGAAATTAATTAAAATTAAAAAATTAAAAACTGGAAATTAAACAAAATGGTTACAAGTAAAAACTCGAAATTTTACTCGTAAGCTCGTGTTTTAATGAATTTCAGGTTGCAAGTATATTGTTTTATAAAAAGTAATTGATTTGAAGCATATTAAAGAGCAATGATTTTAGAAGCAAGGCAGTTTTATATTTATATCATAATTTAAAATAAAGCTACGATTCACAGCTAATAATTTTCTTTTGTACAAATGTTTTGCCACTTTCAGGCAAAATATCTTGTTATCTAAACATTTTGATCACTTTTAGTTAAGAAGGAAAAAATGTTTATATTAATATAAACAGAATGTGATTAGATTAGCTGATGGGTACTTATATACTATGACGACTACTTAGATATCTCGCCAAAACTGGCGACCCTTGTAAGTTATATAGGTTAACCCTAACACAGGTTGTAGAAGGTACTAAAATAAAGAATATTATCCCGCACTTGCTATTACCACACCTTTTTTTGCTACATTTACGCGGATGATTACGTTTAGGTTAAACACGTGAAACTTTTTGTGATTTTTTTTTTTTTTTTTTTTTTTTCGAATGGATATCAACATTTTGCAACTTCCTTCAAATGAAGAAGATGCGATAGAATTTTTCACAGAAGCTGGAATTTTACCCAAAGAACGCCTTCGTAAAAACGGCCATGATATGAAGTTTTATAATTCAGGATTTTATTGGAGATGCAATGTCAAAAATTATCAACAAAAGTTTGGTGTCCGAACTGGTTCGCTGTTTGGAAACAGTCGTATTCAATTTTTAAAAGCTTTAAGATATATTTAATTTTGGGCATATGAACAGTCGTCCATTACATGGTGCAAACATCAGTTGGATTTATCCGATAAGACTGTTATTGATTGGAATAATTATATGCATGAAGTGTGTGTGAAGGATTTGGAGGATAATCGAAATATTAAAATTGGAGAGCCCGGAAGGATTGACGAAAGCCTTTTTACGCGTCGATTCTTTCAAGATCGTATCTTGCTACAGCAGTGGGTCTTCGGTGGAATTTGCCGGGAAACAAAAGAAACATTTCTAGTCAGAGTTTCCAGAGCGGAATGCAACAATATTAATGCATTATATATTTGGCTCAACAATAATATCAGATTCGTGACCTGGATATTAAACAGAGGAGCTCATTGCTGCTGGTTTTGAACATTTTAAGGTGAATCATCGATACAATTTTGTTGACCCATCTATGCAGACTCATACTCAACACATTGAAAGGATGTGGGGTTCCGCAAATTGGAGGAACAAGCGACAACGTGGCACAAGCCGCCATCATTTGGATACCTATTTAGCTGGATCTATTTGGCGAAGAAAACAGGAAACGTCTTTCGATGCTATTTTGAATGCTATTTCCCACCATTTTCCTCATCATTAACTTCAACGTTTTCTTTTAACCAGTTTTAAGTAATTAAGACACAATAACACGCCGAATAAATACTAATTCAGAAGTCAAACAACAAAAATCAGCGTTATATTTTCAAAATTTTCACAGGACTAGGTTCGATGGTTTTACCGAACCATCATCCTCAGCTGCAAAACCGCAAATGAACAAGATAGGAACAATGATTAGATAAGATAAAAAAGCCTAGACAAGAATAAGCAAGTGGCGCCATCTGTTGATGAAACCAGAACTAAAACATAATTTCTTTAAAGGCCGAAGGCAAAGATGGATTGGAATTAGGATCGTTAACTAGAACAGAAAATATTTTTGAATGCAATGCCTCTAGAAAATCCAGTTCTCCAATGGAAGAATGGTTCTTTAAATGAACCATTTCTTGAAAGAAATTTCTCCAATGGAAGAAATGGTTCTTAAAGAAATGGTTCTCCAATGGTTCTTCCATTGGAGAACTGGATTTTCTAGAAACATTTCGCATTCAAAAAAATCTTTCATTATTTCCTATCTTGTTCATTTTCGGTTTTGCAGCTGAGGATGGTGGTTCGGTAAAACCATCAACTCTAGTCCTGTGAAAATTTTGAAAATATAACGCTGATTTTTGTTGTTTGATTTCTGAATCAGTTTTAAGTAAGTTAATTTTAATTTTTTAATTCGTATTTAGTATATAGTTTATATATTCGGGTTTTTGATTTTAAGTTTTTTATTATTTTATAATTAGTATATATATAGTATATTATATATTATTTTATAATAGTATATTATACTTTCATTTTTAAAAGCATTTATAAACATAAACCGAAACGCCAATGTAGATTTTTATCGGCAAATGTTGCCAAGGTAGTCGTCATAGTACGTAAGTACCAGCTGATGTGTTAAGTTATAGCAAATATTCTGTAATTATAGTAAATTAGTATTATTTTTATTAAAAAATATTGCCTTGGAGATTATACTAGAATGAACTTAGAAAACAGTTTTTATAATTTTCTATACAAAACATTGTCATAATTAGTAAAGTAACCAAAAAATATATAACTGCAGAACTCTCGGATACTGTACGAATGTGAAGAATTTCATAATATTTCATGAACATATAAATGGTAGTGAAAAAGCTATAGAATGACTAAAGCTATTAATGAGTGTTAATGATATTTTTAGAGGTATGGCTTTTCATTTAGGGTCAAATTTCTTGCAATTAAAAAATGCAGGATGAAGAAAATAATAAACTGACCAAAAATAAATTTTTATTTAAAATAAAATAAATATCTAGCTAAACACATGGGGAATACCTTTCAATGTCACATTTACAAGTTTTTACGGGAATTCGTTTTTAATACTCAACGTTTTTAAATCTTAATTTGTAACTGTAAAATTAACCAGGAACTGTAAAATTTAAGTTTATGTTTTAAATTTAAGTTAATGTTTTAAGGAACTGTAAAATTTCATCCAAAATTTGGGTAAGTTATATTTTACCTTGCATAATTGTGTTCATTCAACGTGATATTAACGTAAAAATATTCAAAAACTGTTATACTGTATATTATAGAGCACTAATCAGCTAGTATTATCATACATAAATATTAAACACCCAGCATAAATGTTTACTACAATGAATTGCGGGCCAAGAAAAGCAGCTTTTCAGGAGATTGGGGGGGGGATATATTGCTGTATCAGCAGTCAATTTTGTGGTGCTTAGAAACAAGGAATGTGAATAGAGAGATAGATTGGTGCCTGAAAAATATCTAAATATTAATGTCAGTGTCACTGTTTAGTAATAATTAAATTAGAAGCAGGTCGAAATCTTTTAACATCTTGAATGTAAAAAAACTCGTATTTAGCTCAACTAAGTAAAAGCAAAACTTAATTCAAAAGCATGATGTGCATTTTAAAACGTAAAAGTTTTCACTTGCATATTTTGCATACAAGCAGAACAAAAACATTACTTCAAAAATCTATTTTTAATACTTCTCTGTTTAATTTCTCCTTTCTAAGCAGTACTGCAGATTGCCTTATTAACAATACCGAGTGCGTTAAAAATAATATATTCTGATGTTAAACATCATCCAGCTTTTTATTACACATTGCAGAATCATTTTCCTCAGAAATAGCTTTCATTCGACCCGTCATCACTTTTGAATTCGGATGATTCTAAAAAAGCTCTCTATTCACAACAAATTTTTTCCGCTGTTTCAGATCCATACATTTCGAATTGTGATTAGCAGTTAACGTAGCATATTAAGTATAAATCTATTGGAACAACCTGTGCCAGGTAGCTTCTAAATCATCCTCTCGTTCTTATGCTTCGTTGGGTGGAGAAACCGTGCTCTCTAAAGGAATGTTTTCGATATTCTAAACAACGTTCCAGCTTCCCCAAACATGCTTCCAGAACATTGATTTTTAGTTAGTCTGCATCGCTTTCAAATAACTTTAATTTTATCTCTTTTACAATAAGAAGTGGCCGTCATCACCGTGCACACAGCTGGTGAATGCCTGATAGAGATAGCGTTAGTAACTGTGAAGCAGATGAATGCCAGATAGAGACAGCGTTAGAAACTGTGAAGCAGATGAATGCCTGATAGAAACAGCGTTAGTAACTGTGAAGCAGATGAATGCCTAATAGAGACAACGTTAATAACTGTGAAGCAGATGAATGCCTGATAGAGGCGGCGTTAGTAACTGGGAAGCAGATGAATGTTGGGCATTCTCAGCGCTAGACGTTTGGGGAGAACATTGTGGATGGCAAATGTATCCAGCGCTAATCATGAAGGGGTTTAAAAGCACTTTGCATTGAAAATTTGTGATACCGAGCTTTAAAAGTTTTAATTTCATACAAATTTATCGATTACAGTTAATTTAGATAATTGTTTGCTTCTAGAAATAGAACTTACGTGTTTTTCAAGTGGTTAATATCTGAAAAAATACGGCAATAGCATATGAGAATTGAAACTTTTCTTTTTTCTTTCGAGAAAGCAATAAACTCATTTTCCATTAAAATGGTTAAAATTGCAAAGTTGAAAAAACTGTCACATATTTTAGTAAATTCTGACAATTGCACCTGGCTTTAGAATGCATACATTTTTATAAAATGCTGCTGTTAAATTAAGAAAATTCGCTTCCAAGCGAGCGATATTTTTATACAGGTTTTACACATTTCAGCCGGCGAATGACTATAAACTTTAATCGAAGATATCGGTTGCAAGAATATCGGTTGAAGATATCAGTTAATTTGGGGTTGCAATTTATCTTTCAAACAAAATTATCTAAGGTAATGTTTCTTAGAACTTTATAGTAAATTTAATATATTCAAATAAATTTGCTTTTGTCTTAATAGAATTATTAAGTTGGAGACTTTTATTGCTAGTACTGAATTTTAACATAGTATTATAAATCATATTTATCTACTTATTACCTGAGACTGGTTAAAACAGAAGTCCCTGAGGAAAAACATGTATGCTTATATATTATTCTTTTTTTCGAGTTTGTACTACTATGAATTCTTATTTTAATTTTGATTTGTTTAGATATTGTGTTAAACCTCTTATACCACGGCTGCAGTTATTAATATTGTTCGGAAATTGCTTTGCTTTGACACCAATTTAATTTTAACTTTCGATGCTTTAAGTTTATTATGCTTATATATTGTTATAGCTATGTAGGAGACACTGGCGCATCTGGAACTCATTCTCCCCAGTCGTGACGTTCTAAAAGAGGGCAGATACATTTTTAACAGCTTCTTAATAAATAAAGATGTGAAACTTTTAACGCAGACTGGTTATGCAGTAACAAAGACAATATTTTTAATAAAAATTAAAATTTTGCATAGCCCTCGAATGTGAAGAAAATTCATCATATGAACTTAAAATCTGAACAAACACATGTACGAGTAGTTTTAAAACCCACCTTCAGTTTTCTTCGGTTCTTTCTCAACAGCCCAGCTAGGAGGCTTGGGTTTATATTCTGTGAATATATGTAATGTAGGTTAAGATATTTCCAGCAGAATAAATATACACAACATTAAACAAGATTAAAAAAAGGTTACATAATTTATATTACGTAGAATTAGAAACAATAAAATGAAGAATTACAAATATTTTATTACTAAAAACAATAAAAAGCTTAAATATTTTCAAATTATATTAAACGCATTATATATAAAACAAATGCTTTTATTTTAGAATCAACTCAGACCTGTAGCTTTCTGAGTTAAATAAAGAAAGCAATATTATACGCGAGTAATTAAAGTGTCGTTTTGAGAACTTATATTCATTCGGAAATAGCAATGACTTGTTATCATCATACCTATAAAAGAAAACTAAATAAATTGTATTAGATATAATATGTTAACTGCAGCAACAGAAAAAGATACATAGCCTTTACAATTAGCAGTACTTAGAAGAAAGAAATTAAGATTACGAACAAGTTATTTTTCTAAAGTAGAATTTTGTGAAGAGTTGCAAAGAAAAATCGAAACTACAAAGGTGTGGAAACATACACTGAAATACTGAACATTATTTAATAGAAGAATATGGAAATATGTAGTTAAACAAAGAAAAGAACAAAACATAAAAATACGTAGAAAAATAGAACAAATCATACAACATACAAAAAGTATGTAGTTTAGTAATCAAAGGAACAAATTTTGCAATTTCATTGCGAAATCTGTAGTTTAGCACTGGAACAAAAAATATAAAACATACAGTAATCATTAATTATATTTTAATTTCAAAGGTACAGCGATAAAATCTCAAATGCATGCCCTTTTTTAATTCAGTTTTTACACGGCAATAAAATCAGAGAAGTGGGAAATATAACGATATATAAAAGCAATATAGATATATTTTGTTTTCTGTCTTTTGAAAATTATTAACTTTCTACCTGTGACTGTAACATTGGATGTAGTGAGGTCGACGCCATTCCTGTTCTGGGCCTCACAGCTGAATTCTGCGTTGTCCTCTGGAGTGCAGCGAGTGATGGTTAACGTGCAGACACCCGTTGGTTCATAGAATATTTGATATTCTGGACTGTGCCTCAGAATTTTCCGGGACTTGTACCATGTGATTTTGGGTTTAGGAGTCCCAGTCACTCGACATTCCAATCTGAATGACAAATAATATAAAGTGATTAATTTACTAAATCGGTTACGTAATATAAGAAGTTAACATACACGGTCTTAACACTTTATCCAAAATTATTAGGCCACAAGAGATGTTAGTCCCGAATGGGATATTATTCTCGAAACGGCACTTTGCGTTGAATCACTTATAAACAGTGTATGCCCTTTTCAAAATGTTGCTACCGAATATTATCGCCCTATATAATATTTAAAGAAATTAAATAATGTAAAATCTCTATGAATGCATTCATGTTTATCGCATTGTGAAATAACAACAGTACCTAGAGCCATCTAATTCTGAAAAACGTAGTCCTCTACCCAAATTTTGAATTTCAAATATGTTTTATTATCTATTTCATATTTTGTAAAACTTAAACGAATTTTTGATTAACAAACTCGACGATTTTAAAGCCAGCAGTGGCAACACTGTAAACGGAATAAAACATTTTTATCTAAAGCACGAAAGACTGTCTATCGAAAATTCTAAAGATATACTGTTTTTAAATATTTTAATATTTTGCTGTTGAATCGAATTTTATGAGCCATAATATCCAGAACATGATATTTAATATATAAAGTAAACACATAAAATATTATTAATAAAAAGAAATTTTGTAGAGCCATCTTACTAAGAAAACTGAACATTGATTATGATGAACTAATTCCCAATCTTTTCAATAAGATTGGGAAAAAAAAAGAAGAAAAGAAAAATATATGGTAACTATTAACTTTCTTACTTTTGCTGTTGAACTGTTTATGTCGTAAGTGCGAAGTAAATTATGGTTAATAATAAATTTTAAACGACAAAAAATAAAAAAAAATTTTTTAATCTGAAAGGCTTCAGATTTTAAATTACGTCCAAAGGGGCGTTTTTTTTTTTAACGTTTTGTGTGCTATTTTATTTATTAAATATCAAGTTCTTTGCACTTAGACCATAAAATTCAGTTCAGTACCAATGTCGCAAAATAATTTTTAAATGAGCATGTCTTTAGAATTTCCGATACACAGTCTCTCACGCTAGAGATTAAAAAAAAATTGTTTTTCTTCAGTGTTGCCATTGCTCGCTTTTAAATCATTGCCTTTGTTACTAGGTACCGTTGTTTTATCACAATGCGAGAAACATACATACATTTATGCGGAGTCTTCATTATTTAATTTCTTAAAATATAATAGAGGGCGATAATATTGGGTGGCAACAATTTGAAAAGTGAATCGGACATTTAAAGTGAACCAATGCAAAATGCCAAAACGAAAATAATAGTCCTTCAGGGCAAATTGCTCCTTTGGACTAAAAAGAAAAAGAAACAAAGAAATGGGATAGTAGGAGGGATTTTAACAGCTGACTGGTAGACTGCGAGCTCAGTGAGAGCGTAAACCTTAACAAACCCTTCTGAGCGACCGTTACAATCTGAAATGTTTCAAATTTTTTTATTTATTTATTTAAAATTAAGAAGGTTGTAAACTTCAAGGCATTCTCTACAAATGAAATGCTCAATTAGAAAATAAATAAATTTGGAAACGATAATTAATTATTTGATCTGAAGGTGGTTGTTGTTGTTGTGTCTATGACAAGGCCTATTCAAATAGTGCCATGGGCGAAGATGACAGCTCTGGCAATCTGCAAAATGTCATCATCATAGAGGTTCAGTCTCTTAAACAATACCACAATTTGAATTCAGCACGTATGGCAGGAGAATTAAAAATGTGTGCAATTAGTCAGTTTTGTGCCCGGCAGTTATCATTGTTTCTGTAGTTTTTTTTATACTCTCTGTCAGTTTTCAGTTTCAGTCCTCTGTGATGGGTAATTCTAAATCTCACTTTTACTCTCGTGGAAATGTGCAACCCCTAGGGAGCGGGTCCCCGGGTGGCGGATAGGGAAATGCATGGAGGTTACTTCCTACCTCCATGGGGAAATGGTATAATTGGTTTTCCTTTGGGTGGCAGGGGGGAAGTAAATACCTTCCGCAGTTCAATAGGCAGAACTCCAACCTTTCGGGCAATGGCAGTCCTTTTTATGATGAGTCTGTTTTGAAGATCTATGTATCTTTATACGCCAATAAAGTCATGCTTGCAATTAAACCGATGATCAAGAATTGTTATAGTATTTATTTATGTCGTATCATTCATATGAACGTTAATTTACATAATAAAGTAATCTTTACAAAACTTTAAAATTTTAAGAAAACAATAGCAATTTGTTTATTGCTAACAGTTAATCTAAACGCATAATTATTCATAAAAGTAGTAGATTGTCCACTATAAATAAAGCGGAAATTCTAGACTGCTCATAATGTGAGTAAGTATTTTTCTTGCAAAGAAATACTCTAAGTATAAATGAATTGCATTTTTTGAAATTTTTGCCCGCTCGTGATTTTAAGCTTTTGCTTAAATATTGGAAACTATTTTGCAAATAATGTTCTGTAAGTCAGCTGATTAGTGGTAAATATTACATCTTACACCACTCACTCTAAAATAACTGTTTTCAAAGGCTCATTAAGATAATATTCTCATAAAAGTAAATTCCGCATTACAACATGAAAAAGGAAGCTGGATCTAAATAAAATGAAGGGGATTTTAGACAAAAAATATGTTAAAAGAAAGTTTTAATTCAAGCCTTCACTTCCATTTTTGGCCTTGGCCGCAGGGGCGTAGCTAGAGTTTCCAGCGCCCGGGGACAACTGAAGAATTTGCGACCCTTTCTGTGTGCCAAGAATGGAAAACATTTCATTAAAAAATTACGTAGCATCAATTTGGCACCTCTTGGATGCTGCGCCCGCGAACAGATGTTCCCCTTTGCCCCACCCTAGCTACGCCAATGCTTGGCCGTCATTTGCTGCATTTTAGTTCCCGAGAAAATCAGTGTAAATATATTACACGTTCTTTAAAGAATCAAATGTTTACCCACAGACTTCATATACTATTGATAATTACTTGATTGTGCTTAATAGTCTTAATTCTGCTGTATTTATTTTGTTAATGAATTACAATAAATGAATATAATCTACATCACTAAACGTAACAGAAATGTATACCTTATCATATGCCCGGGTCTCGCTTCAACGTTTTCCAACGGGACTGTAAATCGAGGCGATGTTCCTGCTTCAGGTTTCATTGGGGCTGTTTTCTTGACAGGTGACAACGGAGCAACCTCTTCTTCTGGTAGTTCCGGTATACTCGTAGAAAGTTCCTCGGCACTCGATTCTTCCGACAGGCTGACTAAAGTGGCTTCAGCGGACGTGGTCTTATCAACACTTACGGTTGCTATCTCAGAATCAGGTATATATTCATAAGCTGTAAATAATATCAATAAGATTGATTTCAGATTATGGAAAGCTAAAATGTACATCGAAATAATAAATATTGATTTCAGTATAGACGCAAGTCACAAATTTATCTTTTCTGCACAAGAAGTTAATTTTCTATAACCAACAACTTAAGTACAAACGCATTACAGAAAACTTAGTGAATGACGTCTACGAATACAGTTCTTCAGCGTGAATGAGAAGATAACATCATTCAGTTCTTTTGAACGGTTGTTTATTTTTGTATTATTATGACCCCATCTGGTGAAAGTAAAGAGCTTTTAATTATACTGATATCTAGAATTATATTACACTGAATAACCAGTATTATAAACTAGTAGCGTCCCTTTTGTGGTATAGGATGATTCACACAGAAATGAATCCCATCCTATATAAATTGCGCACCTCTGCATAAACTATTTATTGATTTGCAAATGAGAAATGACAAGTAATTGAAAATTATTGAATCTCAAGAAAACTTTTAATTTCGGTAAACTTTTGTTAGCATATTTGAAAACACTTCTAAAATTTAATTTTTTGGTCCCTTTCAGATCGGAAAACAAAAGAAAAATTTATGTACTTGTATATGTGATAAGAATGTAGGATTTATTGCACCCCTATGCGAAATTCCTCATTTCCAGCAACAACTATAATGCGATTGCACACGCAGTCATGACAAGCTGATTTATGTAAGTGTAGGTCCTGGCAGTGAAGCCCGGTGGCGCAGTGGCTATCGCATCGAGCAGCAGCACCACAGGTCCGGGGTTTGATTCCCGGGCTGGGCAAGTTCGACTCAGCCTTTCATCTCTTGATTTCCATCACTTCGGTTGATAAAACGAGTACCAAGTTCGCTTGGGGACTAAACACCGGGGGTCCTGCGACAAGCTGACCACTTGTTCAAGGAAAATGCTTATGCACCCCGAAGCCCACGGTCAAGAAAGCAGATTTCAGGGCACTGCAGGCTTATTAGGGCTGTTACGTCACTGAGTTGTTTTTTTTTTTTTAAATGCCGGCAGTTTGTAGAGAAAAAGAAATTAAAAATTAAGCGAAGGAGAAATTATGCAGCAGCATTGACAAGAAATGCAAATTCTCTTAAAGGAAGCGATACGCGTTTTTGAAAAGAAAAACGTTTTTTCGTTTTTTGATGGTTAACATAGCAGTAGTATCTGATAATCTTATATAGTGCTGTGTAAGAACGGGTTTGTAATGTACTAAATGCACACAGAACAAATGGTAGCTTGGTAAAATTTATTTTCACAAAAGAGACACTTTATAGTTCTAGAACTTTAAAAAAAGGACACGTACAGCTCTTCTCAGTATCATGGAGCATAATCAGTAGTTATCACTTTAAAGTATTAAGAACGTTAAGCAGAGCGCAATTCTAACTCTGAACATTACATTCTAACTCTGGAAATCATTCTAACTCTAACATCAAACTTTACATTTTAATTCTAATTCTTTTCATTCTAACTCTGGGTATCTAACTCTGGAGATCTAATTACATTCTAATTCTTAACTTTACATTCTAACCCTGGAGGTCTAACTCTGAACTAAAATCTAAGAACTATTGCTCTCCCCGGTCTGATACAGTTTTTTCTCCCGATCTCTGAGAAATCTCTAATCTTCTTCTCGAAACTCCTGGAAGCATATGAAGGCCGGATACGGTTATAGTTACATATAGGGATCAAATACAGTTATTTAATTACAGTTATACAAAGACCGGACCAAAATGTCGCCAAATTTGGCGATTTTTCCAAAAAATAGTCGCCAAAACCATTGCTTGTTTGGTGATATCTTGCCAATTTACCGAGATCGCCATTTGCCTCAGTGTTAAATACGCTTTCCCCTTAAATCTTATTTTTACGGTAGAGCTTTTCTTTTCTTGAAGCTGTTGATGTTACATTATACAAAATTCAAAACAATAGAATCAACAAATTCAACAAATCTACACAGATAGAATTATTCCTGATGCAAGATAATCTTTGAGAATTTTAAAGCTCTTATTCGTAAAGATTTACGTTTCTCGATGATTAGCTGTCTCCAATTGACACTAAATTTGATGGTATATAAAACACTGGTTATGTTAATATATACCTATAAAACACGAGTTTATTTTCCAGATATAATTTACATCACCTCTTACCGAAACGACACGTATTTGTAAGGATAAGGCTGAACTTAAGAATAAACTTATTAAAATGAATTTTGTGATAATACATTGAAATGTTACAGTTATACATTCCTGAAATAAATTGTCAAGTTTGCGTACATATTAATCTTGTTCTCCTCAGAAAATTTCCTGTAATAAATTAGTTTACACGAAGTTAATAAAATGAAATTGCTTACACTCCACAGTCAATTGAGTACGAGTGACAGCTTCTCCAGCTTTGTTAACTGCTTTGCACATATATTCCCCCATGTCTTCTGGGAATACCTCTGACAGAAAAAGTTCGCAGTAGCCATCTTTTCGCTGCGTTGTCCATACTTCGGAATTCTCACGGACTTCCCGGTTGTTGTGGTACCAAGTGATCTTTGGCACAGGTATACCAGTAACCTGAAAAGAAGAACACTAATTATGTTTTTTTCAGATTTCCAGAATCAAGAGAGTCTACCATTCTGAGAATTTCAAAAAAAAAAAAAAAAAAAAATACGAAAACAATTTTTCTCAGCTGCAGAGAATTCATACGCGTAAAAGACTATGCTTAAAATATTTTTTTCGAAATTTTAATTCTTTTCAGAGTTATAGCCCAAAGTAGGTTTTAAGCTAATTGATGTAAAAGTTCATCGCAATTTCTTTGAGTTTTCTCGAAAATCATGCTGTTTTGTCAATGTCCTTCCAAATTATCCACCTGATTAATTTTTCTAAATTTTATTGTACTTGAAATTCTCAAACGGTACGCACCTTTGCTACCAAATGTTCAAAGTAGATTTTACTTAATTAAGAGTTATTTTTTAATTTTGAAGGCTATAATTTCCCTAGTGTAACATTATTAAATAAATCTTGCCTTAAAATTATTTTTCTTCAACTTTGTGAAAAGTTTTTTTTTATTTGCTTATTTTAGGTGTTTTCCACCAGTGTGTATTAGCTGATAACATTTTTTTCAGATATTACTGCTCGCAGTGATACATTCCATTTTGAAATATTTTTATTTAATCCCTTTTACAATAAATTTTAAAATAATAATAATTTCTAAAGCTTTCGACATTTCTTTTAATAATTAATTTACCAGCAGAAGAAAATTTAAAAACACTTATCGACTTAGCTTTCTTAGGCTGTATGCCACTCTAAGTTACAATGCAAGGCGCATATGGATATAAACAAGTCTAAGCGAAAACCAGTCTAAGCGTCGGCAGCTGATGAAATGTCTAATTGTATAATCACAAAACACCCAGTCTCTTTTTGCTTCCATACAATGAACAAAGCCAGAACAATGAACAATTCTTATTTACTAACAATCGGCATCTGTATACATAACCTTTGGCACAAAGTTGTATTGAAATTCAGTATGCGTTTTGTTAGATTCGTATTTAAATAAAACACTATTTAAACAAATTAACCAATTTTCGCTTAAACGAAGGCCGGCTTAACCGAAACAGTGGAGAAAATTAAATATCAAAGCAGACAGTTTGAAAACAATCATTTCACATTTTTTAATCATTGTTTTCTTTAGAGGTAGGTAATCGTGGTTAGTAAATTTTTCATTTTTCATATTGGAAACAAAATAATCTGAATCATTGCTAGTAAAAACAAAGAACTTTGAATTGTTTGCCTAAAAGACGATTTTCAAGCCTCTATTTTCGTTACAGAATAACTTATCTTAATTAACTAGTTATTACAACTTTTCCTTCCCGTATTACTTACCAGAATAAAAATTATCTGTGAGTATTTAAACTGAGATTTTTTGGATTTGAGACAGAGAGTGTTTGTAGCATCGCGTGCGCACTACGTGGTTAGTTCCTGCCAGCTCTAATAGTTAGAACTATTTGGTTTTGCGGTCTCTCCCTGTCGACACTTCAAATCTGACACGCCTGTAAAAGTATTCATCCAGCTTGTAGCTTCTTCTTAAATTGTGTAGTCCTGAACTACTGTTCAACATTTAATTTACATCTGGCTGTTATGCATATTTGTATCACCCCGAGGGTTGATCATTGTAGCACAACAGTGCGCACACATGTTCTCAGTTCTGTTTAAATTTAAAAAAAAAAGGTTACCATAATCTTTTTAAGATTTTGTCGTAGTTTTCAGACATAGCGATAACTCGCTTCACGTCTGTTAACCCTTTCCGGCACGCTACCTTTTAAAGTCGGAGTTTTGATTAAAAAAAAAAAAAAGGTAGGCAGTATAATTAGACCTAGAGGAGTACACAAGAAAAATTTTGTGAAGATAGCACTTATCGTTTTAATTCTGTGGGTGTGTCCAAAGTGGAACACCCACAGTGATTGAATAGAGCTTCGAAACGAGTGCTGAAACGAGCATTGAACTGACCTATGAGTTGCGGAGAAACAAAGAATACAGACTCTCAGTTGTCCTAGATTATCGGTGAATCCGGTCTGGGCACACCTAGAGTTCGCCTTTTGATTTTAGGCAAGATTTCAAGGTAAAAATTTAAACTAATATAGAATAAGGAGATTAGCATACAGCCAAAAAAAATAACATAGAAATTTCTTTTCAAACAATTCCTTTTATACCCTAAAAAAATTTGGAAGTTTCTTTGAAAAATGAGGGTCTTAAAAAACTAAACATGGCTAAAATATATGAACTGGTTTGGGTTGAGCTGCCATCTAGGTCTTAAACAGCATTCCCAGGTCATGTGTAACCTTATATCATAGCAGGGAATTTTAGCCATTTTATAAGGAAATTTATCAGGAGCTCTCACCATTCCTTTAAAAATATTTCGGTAAACGATTATGAAATTGAAAAGTAACGTTTATTTATGGACTATTTAAAGTTTTTTAATGTCATATTTCCGTTAAGAATTGTGCCCCTCACGTTGCCAATTTACACAAGAATACTATAATTTTTAACGCTTGTTTTCGAACTTTACTCATTACACATCGGCTAAACCGTTTAAAAGCAGTAACTGTAATTAAAATAAAAACGTAACATTTTCTTACAATTATAAATGCTACTATTTTAGTTTTTTTCGGATTTAAATGAAAATTAGAATAGAGAAATATTGGAATTCATTTTATGTAAAATCTTTTCTAAAGTACCAGTATTCTCCGAAATGATGGGCACAAATAAAAGTCACTTTTTTTTTCTTTCCTTTCCCCCCCCCCTTCTAACTCCATTACATAGAACTCTTTTTACCCCATGTACTTAGTTGGTATGTCTTCTCACTGCACTGCTATATGTGTAACATAAAGCGATTAGCCCATGATTCCAAACTTGTGAGAAACTCTGCAATACCTTGTAACAACGTTAGTCCGAATCTGGGCCTAGGTGTGCCGGAGAATGGAGCCGCGGGTTAGTAGCATCTGCGATTATTGCTGTTTAAATCCTGGCTAATGCAGCTGATTCCGGAGAAGTGCTGTCAAAAACTGTAAGCTACGGTTGAAAGCTTAACACGTTAAAATTAAAACTGGGGTTTCCCTTAGGCTTAGAGTAAAACTGAAGTGTGAATTTTAGAAAAGTGAAGTGGTATCTGTATTCTGATGTAAATTCTCAAGTAGAGACCAATTAAAGATTTTGAGTTAAATTTTATTGTATTCTTAGCTACCTATCACGATAATTCGTATAAGGAAAATCAGTGGCACCTAATAATTAGAAGCCAAGGACCTAGTGGTTATAATAACCCAAACACAGTCAAATCTGACAAAAGGTGTCACAATCTTGGATTGATGATTTTAATTTATTGCTACTTTTAACAGACGAAAACAATTAGCGTGGATTAAATGATAAAAAGACTAACCGAAATGGTTTCACTACTGTTAATTCTGATAACAAGGATTTGCTGCATTTCTTTTTGTATTTATTAATAAAAATTATTGAAATCTCTTGATGTCTAATAATACGCTTTAAGATGGTCGCCCATGTAAAAAAAGTGAAGTGAAGAAAAAGAAATTGATTTATAAATTCTTTGAAATATTTATGTTGCTTACACTAAATGAATCAACCCGCGAGGTTCCCAGTTAGAAGCTTCGCAAATAGTATGTAGTTCTGACAAAAGTAACACTGAATGATTAGTAAAACAAAGAAGCGTTATTATTTCTCTGAGCCAAAGGTTTCAAGCTTACAGTAATAGATCAAGTTTCGAACATGAATTAAATGACACTACTGCTTCATAATTATTTTATATGGCATTTTGCATTCTTCAAGAGAGAGATACTCAGTTAATATAATTTCTATTGATACGTATTAATATTTAAAAATTTGAATGCACTGAAAAACAATGAAATCTCATAGTAAAGTAATTCAGTTTAATTCAATATAATCAATAGTTTTCAACAACATCAGAGAAGAAGAAATACTTTTTGTTAATTTGGAATTCTGATCCAGGAATATCATTTAAAGATTTACAGTGCTATTTAATTTTAATGGTGTATTTCTGTTGTCAGTGCAACTGACGTCACAAACACAGCAGATCTATATGTAAATCTGCTCTTTTATACTAAAACATTATACGGTGCACTTGCATTAGTCAAGAAGCAAATTATAAAACCATGAAATGATGCTTATATTTCTGTTTGCATTCATCAATAATTCTTTTACATCTATGTCATATAACAGTACTTAAAATTCCATTCACAGTCATTAATTATTTCATTGTAATGCATACTTATCAGTAATTGTATTGCAATCGTCATGATAAAAAAACCTCAAAAGCACGTAACGGTATTTAAAATTAAATTTATGTTCATAATATACTCCACTGCATTCATTACTATATTTTATAAACTCTCATACTATTTGCATTCATCATATACTTTCAGTAATAATTTCATTGCATTCGTCATGATTAAAAAATTAAGCAATACTTAAAATTATATTTGCATCCAGTATTTCATTTATAGTGTACTATTTGTCGATTCGAGCAATTTTTCGATTCGAGCTTTTAACAGTGTACTATTAAAAGAAGTTGACTTATATTCACTTTGCAGTAAAAAAATTATAAAACTCACGTGCAGATAACTTGTTTTTGACAGGATTTGAAATCATACCTAATAACAAATAGTCAGTGATCGTATTCATCCAGTTACTAACATTAAAGGTCATTAAGAAAGAATGTTAAAGATTTCTCACGAATCAAAAATCTTAATGTTTGATTTATTTGAATTAAACAACCAAGGAGAGAAATGAACAATTAACAGAAACTCAGTAACTTGAGAACTGAATAACTTGTAGCAAAACTAGAGATTCAGTTTGTAGAAAATTAAAACAATACTTCATTAACAGAAAGAAAACATTGAGAGCAAGATTATTTATTACATTTGCTGCTGAAATTTACCTAATTTGAAACCTCGAATCGGCATGCTAATTTTCAGTCTAAAGTTTCACTCAATATTTATTTAATATAACTCAATAATTTTCGTAAATCAATGTAAATGGAAATTACAGACACCAACTAATACTTAATACTCTATATATGATACTATAAAAAGGGAGGGTATTTAAAGCATGAATGCCAAAGCGACATAAAATGTGTAGTTAAGCCTTTCATTCAAAGCCTGTCTTAGAAAAGCGAAATTTATTCAAGAACTGTTTTCCTAACTTAAAAGAATACACATATTTATAGCTTACTCACCTTTACCTTACTAACATTTGACTTATTACCAAGCCAAACTGCTGAAAAACAACATGCTTTATCTACAATTTAAATCTACATTTTACATAGAATTCAGCAGTTGTAAACGAATATCGTTCACAGTCTCCGGAACTTGGAGTCTTGCTTCTACTTTTAAACTAGTATTTTGCGTCTGCGAAAGTAAAATTTTGTGCATTGAAGCCAAAAACAACTTCTTTAAACCAACATCCGTTTTATCTCGACCTTGTCTCCAGTCTAGCCTTCACGGGAAAATTACGAAATAAGTAAATAAGTGATAATAATATTAATAATAAATAAACCTTACGTCTTTACTATCTATAACCGTACAAGTGTTATTAATATTTTTGTGCATATATTTATTTACTATTTTTTATTCTCTTGTAGTTAATTCTCTCACGGTAGTGAAACACACACAATAACTGAGTGGTTATATAATTACTGAGTGGTTAATAACACAAGTACTGAGTGGTTATATTTCTAACCTCTCGCTGATAGCTCTTTTAAACAGTGTTTAGGAATAAATTCCTAAACAATCATCTGCTAACAACGGTAAGTTATCTTTTAAACGTGATTTGTACTCGTTGTTGTTTGAAAGCTTTCAAAAGTTTTAATAGCTAAATAATATATTCGATGTAACTTGAAGACATTTAAGTGACTATTTCTCCTAATATTTGGCATGCTTGCACGAAAGACTGTTTATGTATATAAGGGCTCTCTCCTTTCCGCGTATCTTCGTGGTGTAACTGGAAGCATGCCCGACCCGTATTCGGGAGGTCTGACGTTCGAATCCCGGCGAGAGCATAGCACATTTTTCACGTTCCTACATGGATGCAACCTAATGACTCCGGATATCTTAAGAAATGCATAACATAGCATTTATATTATCCAGTACCAAATAATCATAAAAATAAAAATAAGCATGTGCCATAAAAATCAGTTTTCTAAGCAGGACAACTTCTGAAATTTTAGAAATAATCCTTTTTTGAGGCGCTGTTTCAAAGCGATTGCTTATATTCAAAGATATATATACTGTTATATACTATACATACTATAATATAATAATGATATATATATACTATATATACTATATATATATATATATCATTATTAATTCGAGAACCCGAGTTTCCCTTTCAAAATCCGTTTTTTCAGCTCTTCTACACGATTTTTGTAAATGACTCTTAGAATCATCTTTATCATTCATTAAAACAAACAAGATTTTCAAAAGAATGGGTGACAAGGAAGCAAAATATTAAATTCTTATGATCAAACACCAGCGATATTCTTCATTCTAGATCTCGATCGCAAGCAAAATTAATAAATACTTTGTACTTGCAAAAAATTAAAAAAATATTTCAATATTTAAAAGCAGAAAATATTGAAGATGCAACTCAACTTTAATTCTAAACAGCAAATTAAAAAACCGAAATGTTGACAAGGTTTGTACCTCAAGATTTCTGTGTGCCACATATTAGGTTTATTCAATAGTCAGTGATATTATCTATATATCGAAATTATATACCATCTTTTGGAACAGCCGGTATAAGAGTAAGAATGCATGCACGTTTACTTACAAAGCAACTCAATTTGGCCTCTTCTCCGTCCATTACTTTGACTGGAGTTAAGGGAACTTTAAAGGTTGGTGCCTCAGATGAATCTTCTTCGGGTGGACCTGCAAGGATAAATTATATACACTGTTGAAACAAAAAACACTAGAACGTAACTTATTTCAATTAAGTTACACAACTTAAGTCAATTTTACGTTGTGAGACACAAACTATGTTAAAAAATATTAAGACCCATGAACACATATTTTTTTTTTTTCCTCAGCGAATTAAGATTCTTGGATACTTGATTGATAAAAGAATAACTATTTGAGATTAACTAAAAGCAAAAGAATAAAGTTGTATTTCTTGTTATCTTGAACGTAGAACCATTATAAAGAATAATATTCGCAATGGCCATCCAGCTTCTAAAGATTATCTACATTGAAGTCATATAAGAATATGTATCATAAAAAGTGGCAAACTTACTCTCAACGGTCAGGGTTGCTGTAGTGGTAGCTGCGCCGGCTTCATTGACTGCTTTGCAAGTATAGGCCCCACTGTCATCAGCAAAAGCTTCGCAGATAAGAAGAACCGACCTGTTATTTTCGCTGGTAATTTGGAAATCCCTGGAAGATTTGATGGGTTTCTTTTTGAAAGTCCATGTAAAAGTGGCCAGCGGGGATGCTACGACTTCTACCTCCATCTTAACTGGTTCTCCCTCCGGAACCAATTGAGACATAAGAGGAAGAGTAAAGATAGGAGGGACGGGTTCTGCTTTCGGTGACTCCACTTCGCCTGCAGAAGAAAAAAAGTTCATTCATTGTCTTTTGATATATGTGTAGTATTATATAAGTTATGCAGATCATTAACAGTTTGCGTAATTTATATACATGTATAATAATATTTGTAATTTAAATTATCTACCAAACATATTGCACAGTTTCCTACTTCTTTCTTAAATACTTTTCTTCCTTCCGATTTGGAAATATAAGTTCACACTCAACCATTGATATAAGCTTAAAATGGTTAATCTGAATTGCTAATTAGAAATAGAAAAAAATCTAAATTTTTTCTAGAATGCAAATCCTAAAATGAGCTCGAATCCTTCATATTAGAAAGGAAGAAGGAAAAGAAAAACATTTTTACTTAACATTAAAAGATTTTAAGGAAAGTAAAATCTGTATTTAATGGAAAATAGAATTATGAATATTGTTTTAAAAATAATCTTGTAATAATTAAGAGGATATAAACAAAATTTAGCAAATGAAGTGCGTAATTAAAAGCTTTAATTAACACTTTAACTACTATGAACATTTCAGAATGTCTTAGTAGTATGTTATCAACGTTCAAAGTTACCTAGAAAATCCGAAAGTTAGCTTCAAGACTTTTTTGAGATAGCACAACAGCGATTATTAGAAAATTTTAGAAGTTTTACAATTTTACAAGATGAATAGTGAATAGTTAAATAGTATAGTATTATGAGCTGCTATCATAGGTACCTTTATAAGAATAACGTTTTTTTTTTTTTTTTTTTTTTTTTTTTTTTTTTTTTTGTAGAGGAAGTTTTTTGTTGCATGTCAATAAAACTAATCTTTTCTAAGTTATAAAGTTAAAATATTTAAATTAAAAAAGAAGTGTCTGAAGATTCAAATGACAAAAAGAAGCGAAGCTGTGATTTTTTCCCCTCCACGATTCATGGCCATTCAAAAATTCATCACTAATTTTAAAGAAATGTATTCTCACTGTTTTTCGCCTACAGTGTTAAAAATGGTGATATATCACATAATAGATTTTTAACAAACCATACATTAAAACTTTTAATTTTCATTCCTACAACAAAACAGACATTTTATCACCTTTTCCAAATAAGAGGACCATAACATTTTTAGTCTTTCAGCTCCTTTACAAGTTTATTTCAAAATTTTAACTTCTTTTTCTTTTCATTCTTTCAGGATAAACTATTGCTTCGAGTCAAGTTAAATTTCTAGGTTATTTTTTTCTTTTATTGATAATATTCATTGCTCAGTCCTTATATACATTTTTTAAGATTTTCCTTCGTAACAAAATTTGTAATATTCTTTATCGAATAGATTAACGTACATCGAGTAAAATAAAATAGTTCTAAAATCTTTCATAGACCATGGATATTATCACCAAAAAAGACAAAATAATGAAATCAAACTTTATTAATGATTGTTCACTCCTTTCCAATTGTTTAATTTTAATAAAATTACCCAAACACATTTTTGTTTATTAAAAAAATTACTTTTGGCAGCCATCAAAATCTGTGAATTACAATTAATGATTTTAGTTCCAGTCTTGTTCTTGTCAAATTATTACTTGCTTTGTTTCAAATATGCTTGAATATTTATTTTTTATTTAACAGATGGCATTAATTCCAGAAAAATAGAACAGAATCATTTTGCTGTTTGAGGAAAAGGGTTAGCCTCAGATTCCGTTGAAATCCATCGAGCTTTTCTATAAAACAAATGTCAAACTAATGCTAATTTAACTTAATTATTAATTTCTTATATATTCTCTTAGTTTTAATGTAACAAAAGTTACAAAAAGGTACAGGTGTTTGAAGTTAAATTTAGGAAAAAGTGTTAATATAAGTTCATCTCTCTTTTGCTTTCTTATCTCAAAGGAATTGTTAACAGAAAAATACGCTTAAAGTAATGTAATCACTTAATACTGAAATCCGTTTTTTTTGGGGGGGGCTTTACAAAAAAAATTGTACATTGTAAAATAACTTTTTCTATATAACTGAGTTAAGCAATTATTCCTTTAACTTTTAAAATTAGCAGTTAATTTGGAGGAGTATTATTATATTGGAGGAGTATATTGGAGGAGTAATTTGGAGGAGTATTTGGAGGAGTACATCAAGCTAATTAAATAATTTAAAATTTCCAAGGAATTATACCTTCTAATAAAAATAAATTTGCTCATTTTCACTCTCCTGAATACGATAGTCTCTTCAGTAAAATTTTTAAGTATGTAATTATAATTAATGTAGAAATCATTTGTGACAGAAGTTCAAATAACCTCATTTTATTTAGAACGTAACACTGAACAAACAGTAGAGGATATTTTAAAATATTTCAGAATATGACTCTTTTGAGCTTTTAAACTGCTACCAGTTTGGTCATGTGACATTTTTAAAAAGTATATAAAATTTGCATTTTTACACTGATTATCATAAAGGATTAATAAGTTACCACATTCTACTAAAGTTCATTCGTTAAAAAAGAAGAACTCCAGTTCTGTTGTATGCAAAATTAGCTTTGAGAAATTATCAAAATTATATGATTTACTCGATTTTCACCTGATGAAAAGAAACGGCGTAAACGTCAGTTTTAAAAATCATATAAAAATATTCATACTTCGTATTCCTGAAAATGGGAATTTGTTACCAAACCGTATAGTTTCAAGTTTTTTTTCCATGAAATAAAAATGAAATCTGGAATGAATTTCTGAAATTTACATGTTTGAATAACACGCGTAAACTATTTACCACATTTTGTATACTATCCTCATTTCTCCAAAGAATGTAATTTTGATTGAATAGTGATGTTTTCCTGTTTTGTTTCTCTAATCCATTACAAGAAACATTTTTCCTGTTTAAATTTTTCCTTTGAGTGATCGTTTAAGAATTTAAATTCTGCGTATTTTTATTAAAGATTTCGTGTAACCAAAATTTTATAATTTTTTAACACTATCGATTCCGCAGAAAACTAATGGTGAAATACTTTTGAAATATTAATATACAATGAATATTTCGTAGATAAGTAACTGTTTTCTCTATGTTGTTTTGAGAAAGAAGGAAACAATAACTTACTGACAACTTTCAGTGTAGCTGTAGTGGAGGCTTGCCCCGCTTTGTTAGTTGCTTTGACACCGTAAGTACCAGCATCATCCGGAAAGACTTCAGCTATCAGAAGTGTCGATTCTCCACCTTCTGTGGTCACTTTGAAATCCCTGGAGAGCTTCAGCTCCTCGTTATTACGATACCTGGCGAAAGGTATCAAATACTTTATTTGAAAAATTATTTCAAAAGTAATATTTTAAGAAATCTATTAGATATTTCACAACATTGAATCTATTCGTTTCTTACAGACAGATTTGCAAAATATATTTTATGAGCAACTTGCTATGATAATCAGTCATGGGGAAATACTTCATAACCTATGATTATATACCTATTTAGATATGATTAAATAATTTTGATGACCATTGCACATTCTTCAATTTTAAATGCACGTTTCGTCGAATTTCTTGTCTTCTTACGATTCATACCCTGCTAAAAATGCCCCATAGAAACCAGTAAAACTTTTTATGGGTACCCATAATATTTTATGGGTTTCTATTGACTTTTACTGGTTTCTGTTGGTCTCTGTTGGTTTTTCTTACTGGTTTCAGAATGACCCATAGAAACCAGTAAAACTTTCTACTGGTACCTATAGAATTTTTGATGGTCTCTACTGACTTTTACTGGTTTCTATTGATCTCTGTGGGTTTTTCTTACTGGTATCAATTGACACCCATACAACCAACATTTTTTTTCAATGTCAGAACTTTGTACTGGTTTGTATAGGTTTATATTGACTTTTACTGGTTTTCTTACTGGTATCAATATAATAATAAATCTTCTGTTGGTTTATATGGGTTTACGCTATTTTTTTATCTGACGTTAATAGATTTCTACCGATATATTCTTTTTTTTATCTGACGTTAATAGACTTCTAATTTTTTTATCTGACGTTAATAGACTTTATGTAAACAATAAAATTAACAGAATGAAAATATGATCTCTTTACGACCATCAGAGTAACCTGGAAACGCAGGTGGTCGTTTTAGAGAGGGTTTTTACTAAATATGTTTATTTATTTGATTTAAATTTTTTTTTCGGTAACAATAACAGTAATCATATACACCACACACAACGAGGTCTCTCTAAGGCGACCAGCCGCAAATAAAAATTCATCTTTGCAAGTGGTCGCCTTAAAGAGGTGATGCTCAATACCAATATATACTCCCGTTCTCAGAGATACGTTTATCTTTTACAGGTGGTCGTCTACTAGGGAGATTGCATCTACGGAATGAATCTCTCTAAGGCGACCAGCCACACTTGCAGAATTTTCTTTGTGAATGGTCGCCTTACAGAGCGAATATTCAATACCAAAGTATACTTATGTTTTCAGAAATACTGGTCTTTTTCAGGGCAGTCGTCTTAGGGAGTTGGTTCTCTGAATACACACACATAAGCACTTACATTTCTGATATTACAAATAAACACCGGTATCAACCTACATCTCTTTAACGCGAACAAGTCCATTCACAATCGCAAAACTTTTCTCCCTGTTAACGCTGACGTGAGGGAAAAAATTCCCCCTCCCTCCCCCACTCTCAGAAGTTTCCCAAACAAGCAATATGGCGCCGCTCTAGTTATTGTTGTGCGATGGTGGTGTTATTTTTTTCGTGGTTGTAGTAATGCAATATATTATTTACTATGATTTACTGTATTACAAATTTTACTATGTTTTACTGTTTAGAAACTAGTAATTAAATAATAAAATACCAGCACTGACTATGAATATACCACTAAAGCCATGCACGTGTAATCGTGTCTAATGTTTGAGAGAACGTTGCTGATAACTGACTAGTTGTGAAATGGAGTTTCTGTGCGTGAAATTGATTTTCCATCTTTACTTTTTCCTGAAAAACAATGTGCTTAAAGACTGAAAAGTGATAATTTCAGACTTGATAATTTGGTTCAGTGTGCAGATGCAGAAATATAGTTTTTGCATTCTACTGAAACTGCATTTTGGAAAATTTATTTTTTTGATTACAGTTTAGAAATACTTTTTCAAATCTTGGGAACTACTCTGATATGCACCCTCAAGTCGCCAAATATTTTTGGCGAGAAACTCCACGCTGCCATATTGCTATCTAAATTTTTTGTCTACATTTCGAACTCTAAGCCTAAAATATCTCCAAAAACAGGGTTTTTGCGAATGCAAAAACTACGTTTTGAGCACACAATTTAAGCTAAAAGTCCGAAACAAAAACGAAAAATTTAGATAGCAAAACCGTGAAGTTTCTAAAAAAAATTATTTGACAAGAGTCCATGTACACAGCGATATGTTTTAACTTAAAAAAACATCTACGAATGGCACAATCTAGGTAACGAACGACTCTACGAACTACGCACACCTCGCTTTAATAAATTAACATAACGACAATAAATTTCAAAGAATACCATGTACACAGCATCCTGTTTCAACTTAAAAAAAATCTACGAATTGCACAATTTAGGCAACAAACGAATCTACGAACTACGCACAACTCACTTTAATAAATTAACATAACAACAATAAATTTCAAAGAATACCATGTACACAGCATCCTGTTTCAACTTTAAAAAACATCTACGAATTGCACAATTTAGACGGTACGCACTAATCAACAAAATAACTAAAATGAATTTCAAACAATTCAAAAATACAACAATAACGACAGAAATTCATACTAAAAAAACAATGAGCATAACATTCTACAAAATAAGAACAAGAATAAAATAAAATGCACTTAGCATTAATGCTTTTTCGAACAGCAGAAATACCATACCACCTTTAACATGCCGCCACGTAATCACTATTGTATTTATATAACAGCCAGACACACTATCCAGAAAATTCATACTATGGTTCACAAATAATTACAAATCCCTACTTCTATCACGCACAGCCACTAAAAATAATCTCCCATACCCTCTTTCCACACCTCCAAATACCCATTGCTCCTCAACAGGATGGCCACGACGATATTTCCTTTTGCCGAACTTCAATTCAACAACAGGTTTGCCACACAACACGCAATCGCGCCAAAAACCAGCGCAGAATACATATCGCCACATTTGGTGAAATTAGGGCGTATATCAGAGTTGTACCAAAGCTTGTTCATGTAGATGCTTTATCATTTGAATATTATGTACTAATAAATTTGAGCATACCTTACTTAGAAATGATCTTGCATGATTCAATTTTCAATTTTTCGACTAATGTCATGTGGCCGAGCAAAAAGAATGTTTTTTTATGTTTTAAAAAATGTACTAATTATATTTCGCGAGCAAAAAAGGTAAGTTTTATTATTAATTTATAAACATTGAAATATTTAATGTGTTTATTACTTATTAAATGGGGTAGACAAGACATACAAGCTTAAGGAATCTTTTTTCCACTACTAAAATTATGTGAAAATTTAGATGATCATAGTAGCTTACATTGTTTTTTCTTTTTGGTCTATTTTTCTTTACAAGTATGAGACTAGAACCACATTTTTTACATTAAATATTTTGTGCTATTTTGTTAAAACACATATAATCATTTTTATGCATACTTTAATTTTCATTATTATTAGTTTGATGAAGAAAATTTCATAAATTGCTTTTGAAATAAATAGATTTGTGAATAAGATTTATGAAATATTAAATGTACTAGTCTTGGGAGTATAAAAAGTGAATTATTTATTTGAAAAAAATTACATTAAGTTGAAACCTCATATAGTGGTTATTTTCTTAAATGACCAGCTCTGATAATGGCACATTTGTCAGGACAACAATTAAATAACAGGACTTAAAAAATCACTCATAGTTTTGTCAGGCTACAGGAAACTGGCATTATCTCGAATTGTGGAGTTGATTGTTTTAGGAACGTTTTGCTGTATAATCAATTGACTTCGGTGTAGTAATTTTTACGTGGATATGAATTTTGCAAAAGTAATTGAAAGTTTTTACGAGACAATTAAAACCAAAGCTTTTTGGATCATGAGACTTATAAGGGCACTGTTATAGCATTGCTTTCAAATATAGTTAGAGTAATATTTAAACATTATTTTCGGAAGCACTTCCACAGAAAATCCGGTTGTTCTCTGCAGATGAAAACCCATATAAATAAATCTTTTGTACAGCAATGCAGATCACAAACAGCATTGCTGTACAGCAATGTACAAATGGAGTTAAAATTACTGTCATTACAATTAAGCAAATATAGCTACATTTGTTTACAAAAAGTTATTATTGCTAAATACTGCACTACATAAATTTCATTTGGCATTGTAATTTCAGAAAAAAGCTCATCAGCATGAGGTATTTTTTATTATTATAATCCACTGTCAAAAACAATAGCTACCTTTTCATCAGTACTTTAAATTTTACTATTTAGAATTTTTATGGTTCAAAATAATATTTCTATATATTTTCTAAAGTGTTCTTTCTACAATAGAAATCTAAATGACTTACACCTAAAACAAAACACTGACTCAAATTTATTCCAATAATGCATCGCTTTAATTAAATTTATGTTCCTTTGAGATGGTATATGAAAAACCTTGTGTAATAATAAATTATTAATATATATATAGGTAAATGGTGGTATTTTTTATATTATTTTTTCGGGGTAAAGTGCAGAATCGCCCACTTATTTATTTGGCACTTTTTACAAAAGTAAAAAGAATTGGATTTTTGTCAATTTTCTTTTGACTTTTTAAGCGAAAATAGGTCGATGTGTACATGAATAAAGTCAAAGGAGTACATGAATAAAGACAAAGGAGAAAATAGGTCGATGTGTACATGGATACCGAGTATGTGCAATTCTTAAAAACACGCCAAGCAATGGGCGATTCTACACTTTCCCCATTTTTCTACAGGAATTTAGTTTCATTAAATTAGTTATTTAGTATAAATATGTGTATATGAGTATATTCATACTTATTCACATAGATGGAATTTTTACAATATGAAAGCTGATCTTTTTTACATCAAGAACTACATATAGTATAAATACCCATTATGTTATAGATTTTATTTATATAAAATCTGTGGATGATTATATAGCACTAAAAGTGTAATACGGAATAAAACATTATACGCAATGAGATATTTCCTTAATTCCCGAACTGTGCATTGAGAATTGGTATTTGTTGAGACTTGTAAATTTTTTAAAATTTGTTTT